TTAGGGGGCTGTGTTCTGGCTGACCAAGTGATGGACTGTGTCAGGACTCTGCTGATGGGGGCAGCCACTCCACCTGAGAAGTCATTGAATGAAATGCCTGCGCAGCACTGGAAACAAGATGGAGGACCCCTTTCCCAAGAGGCTATTTAAACTTTTACATTGGAAAAGATTTAAACTTGCCATTGGATATATTTTGTCAGCAATGATTTTATTACTCGGTGGCTGTTAATCATGTGCCTTACTGTGGGCATTTGTATTTCAAGCCATTATCCTTTTATTTTCTGACAAATATGTAGTAGATCTTTAAGAGTGACTGTTCCCTGCTGTTGAGAAAGCCATGGCATCATAAAACTTGAGAAGTCTTGCACTAATGTATTAAATTTATTAATGACAGCTATATTTGAAATATTGTGTGCATGTATAATTCCTCACAATAGAAAATAAAACACTCGTAGCACTACTTCTGTTCTGGCTCTAATCCAGCATTTGCTGAGTTTTTTGTATGAAACTACTTCTATGCTGCAAACCCTTTTACTTGAAGGGCTGTTCCCTCAGACTTAGTGGCACTTACCAAACACAAATGGTGAGTAGCCACATAATATTTTGATGTCAGGTTTGCATTCTTAGCAAAATGCCAGCTACATTTTTTTTTTTAAATTACGTTATCTCTCTGATATGAAAGGTTTGCCCCTGACTTTACCTCTGGTAAATGCTTCCCTTAAACTTTTTTGCTGTGTTAAGCAAAGCCCTGGGAAATGTAAGCCCATTTATTTTGAAGTTCTTTAGTGTGGTATTGACTACAAAGGCAACAGCCATCTTAGGTGCACTGTTCACTTTAGCCTATCCTCTTCTTCGAGAATGAAGAATTTATCTCTAAAGTCCCATCTAGAAGGACTGTATGGGATTCAACCCTGAGTGAATATAAATGCAGATTAAACTGGGGGCAAAATGTTGACAACTCTGCAGCAGAAACATGGAAAGAATAAACCTTTCGCAGAGCTGGAATGTGAGTTTCCTAAGAAAGTTTTAGAGTCCTCATAAATTACTACCTAGACACAGCTGAGAATAGCAGTCTACGTTCCAGCTGAATTTTCCTAGTTCTTAAATATCTGAAGTGAGTGCAGTAGAGGTTTTACAAATGACCATTCTGCAAATGGTTTCCCCAAACATTTTGATTGATGGGAAAATAAAAGCTCTTGCATGTTGCTCAAACTTGTACAGGGATATTATGCATTACATCTGCACTTAGTAGCAAACATGGTATTCTCCCCAAAGTAATCACTGTGCATAATAAAGCTTCTTTAAAGCAGGGAATGTAATTGCTTGGTGTTAACTGCACACCTACAAAACCATAATGCTTACTGCTTACACTAACAGAAAACGTCTTAGGAGGAGAGAAGCTAAACACCAGGATTTTTAGTGCAGCCTGCACACAGGATAACTGGGGTCCCAGGTAATCAACAACATTATGTCATATCCCCTGAGAATGTTTGCTGTTCATAGTGAGGAGCTTCTATTCTAACATGTTAAAATCTTTTGTCTTACCACTGGAAAATTCAGTAGAGGTTTTTGAGAGTTAATAAATTATCATGTCCATCTTCCAGATTAGGACTAGAATGATGTACTATATAATCTAGAGTCAGGAGTATACAGGAATAGAAAGAATGCTTATTTTACAACCCAGAGAAATCATTACATGTGAAATTAGATTCCTGTAACCATGCAGGTCTCTTCAAGCCACTCCAGAAATTCCTTCATGATGGTGGAAGGGACACAGCAAGATAATATTCCCTTGCTACTTTCTCCAAAACCTTTCCATATGGGAGATAGAGCATCCATGGTTTCAGGGAATGGAGTGGGCCTTACATTGAATTTTTCTTCTTCAGTCTTCTCAGCATAAGATGCAACCACATTCTCTCTCCTTTAAATGACTGTTCAGGTGTAACTAATTTCTGAGGTACCTGAGCAGTGATCCTGTTTTGGGGACTGTACAATGATTCTCTTCTATTTTCTGGGGAAGGTAATGTCCAGGATATGAAGTTAGCTCTTCCTTGGTTATCATGAGGCTTAGGAAGGCAATGGTAAGTATGTGAAAGACAAACATCACACATGTAGACAAAATGGCAAGTAACATCTCCATTCTGCATTCTGGAGAATCTGACAAATCACAGCATTCCTTATTCTTTGCTTAATACTCACAAATGAATGGGCCTATTAAGTTGTCTAGCTGCATTTACTCATTTCAGTAAACAGACTTTTCCATTATTTAACTAATTTTATAAGTGAACTGAAAAGGTCCAGATTTCTTCTGCCACAGGGTCACTATATGCAGGTCTGAGTGTGAGTGTAAGAATTTCAGAGGTATCATGGAAGTGGAGGCAATGTATGAAAACATGAATAAAGCATGCAGCAGTTACTTAAAACTAACATATTTTTGTGCAGTCAACCACTAGTTTTTTTCAGCATTATGACTGTGAACTCAAGGAACACTTGGACAATAGATACTAAATAATTATGGAAAGGTGTACAGAGTCTTAAACATTAGCAGAGAATTCAAGTTAAATACTGTCTGGGACTATTTAATGGTTTGGAAATGTTGCTGTGCTTATACATATTGATATAATTTAATTTCCCATGGTGAAAAAACTAACCTGGACATTGGCAGTGGTGGAATGGACTGCACAGACGATTTGAGAGTTGCAAATTGATGTATTACTGAACACAATTCTGCAGAATTGGAGAACTGGAGCCATCTACATTTGTCTGCTTAGACTTCACAACAGTGACCTCTGAGAACTCTACATAGATTAAAACTGATTAAAGCTGTTTATTACTCATTTAAGAGTTACCCTGCCTTGTGATAATGCTGCAGTGTTGCTGAAACCTGTTCGAGATATTAACTGCTAGAGTTGTCACAGAAAACATACTGTACATCTGCAGACATGCCTGAGAGTAAAAAGAGAGATTTTTACTGTTTTTCCAATCAATATTTAAACTATGAGTTAAAAAAATAGCTTGTAAGGATAAGAGCTAAGTGTGTATCAACAGATATTGCATTGCTATTACTTTGGGTTGTGATAAAAAATTATAACAGTGAAGAAAACTTGTGTAAACTCCTGAAGCTTCTTCAGTAACTTGCTTTTTCTGCATGCGTTTTTCAAAGACTACTGTTTGGATATGAAGTCACCTCTCGAAAAAGTCTCCTATGAAGTATTAGTCAAAGGGTGTAGAAAAGGTTTGTACACAGAGATACAAAAATACTTTTTAAAAACCTGAAATCTGTATTTATGAATGTACTAACTATGCAGACACTGATGCTGGGAAGAATGTTGCAAAATTATCATGTAGATTTTCTCTGTTTGTTTTTATTTCCTTTTCAAAGTCTGTGAGAACATTTTGATGTGTCTTTGGAGGGCTGGGTCATGCAGGACAGTAACACAGAAGACTTCCACCTCCCTGGGTCATCCCTGCCAACGCAAGGGTAGGAAGAAATAGTAAAGGTTAAGAGTCCACTGAATACTGAGTCTAAACTTCTGTTAGAGCATGTGCTTGGTGGTGTCCTGGTCACCTGAGGCAGTCCATGTGTCTTGTATATCATAATCTGCAAATACTAGGTAGGACCTGGGTATGTTACCCAGAAGACTTCTCATCAGTCAGTACATGAGTGACAGAAGGTGAAGCCAACCATCCTCTTCTCAGGTGAAGTAAGTCTTTCATGTCACTCTCCTCCTTTCAATCTTAGCCTCCTTTTCTACTTCTCCCCATTCCCCTTCTGTCCCAATTTACTCCTTTTTAAATTTCAGCTCAGCTTTTATCCCCACTGCAGTGGAATGCGTCAGGCCACACCTATAGAAGCAAACCACACTGTAGCAGGTATCCCACAGCTGTCTATCTCTGCTCCCAAAGTACTTCTAGGAACAGTGAGGCAGTCAGTGCAGGTCAAGGACTACCCCTGGCAGTTTAGAAGCAGCAAGCCAGCTTTGAATGGCAGCTGAGAAGAGACATGTAGGCATACAAATGTGACCAGTGCCATGTCTGTCCACCTCAGAGTCAGAGAGCAGACTCTACAGACTATGGAGACACGTAGTGACCTTTATCCATGGCTCAAATCCACTGAAAGAATAAGAGAATTCCCTGCCAACAAGTTCTACCATCAAACTCCACAAAGCTCGTAGACTGTAAATACGGCCTTACTTCTACATCTCTAAGGTGGAAGGAATCAAGTAATTTGTTGGTGAGATATATGCACAGTTGCTAAAGGAGACTGCTCAATGAGAAGAGAGTTTATCTACAAAATGTTGAAAATGTTTGAAAAATGTGCGTAAAATATGTACAAATGGCCATAAAATAAACACAAGAAGTTCTACCTCAACATGTGGAAGAACTTCTTTACACTGAGGGTGGCAGAGCACTGGAACAGGCTGCCCAGGGAGGCCACCCAGTCTCTGGAGACATTCAAAAACCACCTGGACGCATTCCTGTATAATATGCTGTAGCTAACCCTGCACTGGCAGGGTCATTGGACCAGATGATCTCCAGAGGTTCCTTCCCGAGGTCCCTATCCTGTGATTCTGTGAAATTAATTTAAAAAATATAATAAATTTAGAACCCTCCTTCCAACCTCTGGCATACAATTCAAAAGCAGAATTTCTTTAGAGAGATCACCAGATGTTTACTTATCGTGCAAAAAATAATGCATGGCCTAAGCCTCATAATTTGAAAGAGGTGAGCTACTTTCATTAAAATTTTAAACATGTTCAATTCTAAGGTGAGATGTAAGGAAAATTTTGGGAATCTGCTTCTGAAAACTGGTGGGCAACTTCAATTATGAGCAGAGCTACTACTGTTCAGGCTTTGATCACAGAAATTCACTTTACAAAAACTGAGAAGTTCTTATTTTATTCTAGTAATGGCACTGAGGAGTTGTGATTGATTCTGCAGAAGTGACAGAGACGTATCTGGACAAGGCAAGAGAATAAAGCCTGCAAAATCAAACTAGATATAGTTGTTGAGAATTTATTCCAGCACTTCATAGAAAACTGAGGTAACCCTAACAGGAGCAAAACTCAAGTTCAATATTACAGAAAGAGTAAGAAAAATCACCAGTGAATTTATATGTGAAAGTACAACCATATACCATTCATTCGTTACCTCTGTTCAAATTTGAACATGTTTCTGAAAGACAGATTGGCTTAGATTGTTGGCAATCCACAAGTATTTTGAAAGCACAAATGAAACTATGTTACAGTACTGTAACACAGTATGACATTGCTATGAAAGACTCAAGGCCCCTCCCTCCCTCTCTGATCTCATTTGAAGCGTGAAAACATCAGATTGGCACTGGTAACACACAGCCCCCTCATGTATACTGGGTCTCATTTTAGCATGCTCTGGACTAGCTTTCCACACCCTCTTTACTTCAGACCTGTAGATGTTATGGACCCCTAGCCTTGAGCAGGCAGGAATAATGAGTACACACGAACAAAACACATTTATAAAAGACAACATTTTAAAACTAAATGTGCTTGCTCTTGGACCTTCTACAGTCTGTACATGATCTGTAAGTTTGATCTCAGGAAAACTATTTCAGCTTCAGACAAAAACATTTGGAATGTCAAGAGACTACTGAAGTCCTGAGAACAACCTTACGAACATCATTGCTGTAACTCAGTAAAATCCATTAATGTTTCCCGTAACACTGAATCTAAACATGCATTAGCACAAACCATGAATGATAATTCCAAATTGCAATATGGCCTAAAATTTCCAGATATCACAGAAACAAATGGGTGTGGTCATTCACAACACAACATTGCACAATGTACAATAGAGTGCCTGTTTTTAATATGTATATGGAAATTCCAAAAGTGTGATGAGACAAAAGCAGATATATTTATTTGAATTAATTTATAAGACATGTCAAAGTTACTATCTAATAAAATAAAAACCTGATTACCAGGTAAGAATATCTTTTCTTAAATGCTTTCTCTTTTCAAAATGTACAAATTCCCTGCTGGCAATTTTACAAAATACATATATGCTGCAAAAATGAAATACAGGAGGAGCAATGAAGAATTACCTCAGCTTTCATCACCACTTCACTTGATTGACACTGTTCTCATGTTCCATTAAGTATAATAATATATTTGGAAAATGTAAATAACCTAATTACATTTTCTTCTTTCAAGCTGCCAGGCACCAGTCATATATCGCAGTCGTATAAAAAGAAGATCCCTGCCCATCTGCAGCCAGCTCCAAAAGGGAACTAACTTAGAACCTGTGATTAATGAAGAAGAAAATCAGAAGGACATTGTTAGAAAAAAAATGAGCATTGACAAGACACACACTTAAGCAGTCTTGAAACTCTACATTCTCAGCACACTCAGCAATAACATTATTGCTTTATAATAATTTCACTATTCCATAGGTGGGAGACTAGTTTGCAAGCAGCACAGTAATTCCATTTTTGTGACAAGACGCACAGTATTCTCCATGGCAAGGCTTTATTCAAGTAAAGAGGAACCTGAACACCAATAATTAGGTAAATGATATTCTAGAAAAGAAAACCACCACCTTGTCTTACAGCAGTAATATGAACGTGCCAATTGTCAGGCAAGTAAGGAACCCACACCATGAAACCAAGCCTTCTTCCATATTTGCCAACATCTGAGATAGTGCAATGCACAAGTGGAACTGCACTAAAAGGAAGCATTTCTTTTCTAGCAAAGCTGGCTCAGGATGTTCTCTACTTGCACCCTTCATCATCACTGCAGTTCATTGTACTATCTGTTCTTCAGGAGTTGTGTTGAGGGGAAGAGATTCAATTAAGAATAGACAAAAACATGAGAAGGGTAAAAAAAAATGGAGGAACTGCCTTTGATGGGAGGGAAGTGAGCTGGAGCAAGCAGTACCTCTTAAGCTGGCTCTGCTATGATGAAATATGCATGGAGCTATACTTTCCAGTATACCCAGTGCCAGAGATCTCCCTACAGGTCTGAAAGAACATCACATCTTAACAAGAGATGGTGCCTTAGAGGAGGCCTAAATAGTAGAGAATTTTGGAAGGCAAGACACAGTGAAATGGAGTTGAATCAATAAGCGATGATGGTCAGACTTCCTGCACAGTGTTTTGTGGTGGAGCCCAGCTGGTTCTGGGCTCTCTGTGAGCTGAGCTAATGAAGATGGAACTCCTACACCTGGTAGAGGGTCAGTTACGGACAATAAGGACTGTAACACAGAATGGGTATCCTGTCAGGAATGCTGACCTATCTTGTTCGGACATGTGTGGCTATGTCCAATCATAAGTTGTTATGTTAGTGGTAAACCAATAGTGCATGTACATGTGTCACCTAGAACGGTATAAAATAACTACACTGTTGTAATAAAGTGAGCTGGTATCCTGAAGCCATGTCATGTACCACCCCAACACATACAGTGTTTTATAATTGCTCTATTTTTAATTAACACATTACAGCAAGAGGACATGCCAAAGTAGTGTTTTGTCCTAGCAGTATAACTACCTACTTTTGCCTCCAGTGGGAGTGCAGAGTTTCTCTCTCTTGTTACCCCTTCGCCTACTCTTCCTGTACCAAGCCACAGAGAAGGCTGGCAAAGAGGGGAAATTCAAAATATGTGTGGAAAAAAGGCTGTGTATTATCAAAACTGAGTAAAATACAGGCAGACCCTTGGATACTTCATTCTGGATTGACATGTAAGGAACCTTACAAGAATATAAACAATTTGCCTACCTTCTATTTCAGTCCAGTTGACAGCAACTTCTGCTATAGGTATTTTCAAGCGCTGGGCTATATAAAGAAGTTCCACATCAAACGCCCTGAAGAAGAACAGGTAATAGAAAATACAGTCACACTTATTTCCAGAAGAAAGACAGTGGCAATGTTAATGAAATCCCTTGCCTGATTTAATTGGTATCAAGTGCATAACTGAACTAATTTTTCAGTTATGCAGTTGATACCAGTGCTCTACAGATCAGATGCACATGGAAGGGAAATTTATATCCCTGACTGAACATCTCAGAACACAGACAATATACAATATTACAACAGTAACAACAACCCTTCACTGCATCCTGTTTTTGAAGTATAAGGTCATGCTGTGTTCAGACCACTGCTTGCTTTTCATTCTGGCCACTATCATGACTTAAACATTTTTAAAAAACATGAAGACCAAGCAGTCAAACATACAGCATCACTCCACATCTCTAGGAGTTTCATCAAAGGGGACAACAACCCGCTGCGGCTTTACACTTATCTGATGGTTTCTCCTTGTACTTTCTAAGTCAAGAAACTCAAGGCAGCGGCACAGAAGTGAGAAATGATCTAAGTTACTGTGCATAACAGAACCTGAACAACAGTTTTACTTTATCCAGTGACCATTTAAAGAACAACACAGAAATTGTGCCATTCGCTGGCACAATTTTTTGCAGGTTGTGCAGCAAAATGAACTGGGGAAGTGATCCTGCTCTGAGTCAGCTACCCTTTTCTGCTCACTTTGTCCAAAATATATACTCAATCTGTAATGCGCAGTTCTCTGCACAGAGGATTGTCTTGAGCATTTCATTCTTGAAACCGCATGCTCAAATGGGCCTTGTGGCCCTGAAGCTTTTAATGTTAGACAAGTAGTTTGGCAGCTTGTAATGCTCATGTAAAAATCAGCATATAAAACTGCCAGTAGCTACTATTGACAAGCGTGAATGCAAATCACAATGATGAAGATTCTGGTGACTTTCTTAGATTTCAGATTGCTAGGTTGTTTTTTTTTCCTCTCTGTAGTCTTCAAATGTCACTAGGGACATTCTTGTGGTATATACAGAACCTCTATGGCACAGTATCTAACCAGATGTGTTTAAAATAAAAGCTTTCCACTACTGGGATATTTCTGGTTCTTACATAATTACATACAAAAGAATCTAATGGCAGTTCTATGGGATGACTATTTGATACCCCTATATAATTTCCAACTGCAATTATCCCACTTCTTTGTACAACACTGACAATTCACTTAGGACTATCGTTTCCTTTAATTTACCCACTCTCCCCATATACCTATACCTCCCCATGTCCAGTTTATTTCCAGATCTTATACATATTAACTGGGAAAGGAACAGTACTCTGTTTTGTGCACTGACAAGTTATCTTCCAGTTACATGTGTGAAATGACTGACTAGCTGTGAAGCTGGTAAATAACTTTTGAGTCCTTCTTGTAGTTTGTTTTTTTTTTCTTCAGCAGTGGATTTCTCTCCTCTAAGAGGGTTTCAGTTTCCACAAAACTAGCCAAAGCTTTTGATCTTGAAATCTCTACTGTTCTGTTAGATTTGGTTTAAATTAGTCAATAAATATGAAAATGAAGGCAGGGAAACACAGAGTCTGTTGATGGACAGATGAAGATAAAAACAGGCAATATATTTCCTGTTTTAGCGGAAAATTAAACCAAACTAAAAAACCCAAAGCAACTCTTGTTGGTTTAGGCAAATTTGTGACTTGGAATTATCTGAAGAGCTTCTTTATTGGAAGAATTTGAGTTATTCTTTCCTTGACAAACAAAACAAACGTTCTTCATCACTAACCAATATATTTTTGATAAATAAAACGTACAGGGGATTAGTTTTTGGATTACTGTAAATAACAGAGCTAGAATAGAAGGCCAATTTTATAACAGTACATACAAGGCACAATGGATCAAGATATGAAGATCTGGTGTGTTACACATCAACAATATAATTACTACAAAATAAGTTAGCAATATCCTTTTTCATTGCCTCTATTCCCAGACAATGGGGTACAGCACAATTATTTAATTATTTTACTCTTTCATTCCTTTGGTGTTAGACAATTGAAGCAGTAGAAGAAAGTTTATTAAGATTTTTTTCTGTATAAAACACTTTATTTAACCAGTAAGCGCAATCACAATTAGAATCTTCAGTTTAAAAAAGAATAAAATTTAAGATTGCATTTTTACAGTTTAGACTGATTATCCTCATTATTTCTTACAGTTTTCTTCTTGAAGACCTTAATTTATTAAAGTGAAGTTAAAGAGGAAAATTTTGGGATGCGCACTTCTGGACCTCACGTATGTGTTTAACCACGTATTTAGAAAATTCCTCTATGTGAAATTTACAGAATGTTACAGATCGAGTTTGGGTTTGGAGGTAGCAGCACAAATCATACTTCTGCCTCAGCTATAGTCTCCTTTACAGCAATAAGCGAACCACTCCGGTAGAAAAGTGATTTTCTGAACATTGACTGCTCACAGTTACAGATTCCGTACAACAGAAGGTCTGTGTTTCACACTTGTGGGCCCAAACACTACCTTTGCAATTTCATTCTGGAGGAGCAGTGTAGCTCAACTATCACTGCCAAACCTCAACTTAAAGCTAGATGTATTGAAATTGACTAGGTACGGTACTGTAGGGTTGCATACATTTTTGTACAGGAACACTGTTCAGTAATTCTGTTCCCTGTCAGCAAGCAGTAGCCCACAAGAGATTTTCTTGAATGAAGACAACAGTTTGAAAATATTTGATTATACTTAATTAAACTATCCTTTCTGGAAACTACAGCACTTGTGGGCAAACAGTGTTTTAGTCCCATAACAGTACTCATGACTGTATCACTCTCAAAAGGGAACTGTTTTAGCTAAATTACAACAAAAGGAGTTCTAAAGTAATTCAAAGACTATGAATCATCTTCTATTGTCTCAGATTAATAATATCTACCAGTAGTCCTCTCATCAAATATTTTAGCAAGAAAATAAGTAAAGAATAAGCATTTGCTTTCACTTTCAGTCTTGAGCAATCACAAACATCAGATATTGATTCTAGGTAAAATGTTTTGTTTAAGTAGTACTGAATTGTAAGAAACATAGAATTTCTAGCACTTACTAGGATATTTGAATATGAACAAGAAATCTAAGCTGCCATGCAAGCAGTACTATAACTGGTTAAACTGCGCAACTAGGATTTATACACAGACACGACATGCTTCATAGTAGCTGCAATACTAAATACTTTTTCAAAACTACGTTCAATTATTAAAAAAAAAATCAACAACAACAAAAAAGGAACAATTTACCAGCGTTCTATATGAAGAGTTGAGAAAGTCCGCAAGGCAGCTTCTCTGGTTAGAAGTTTAAATCCGCACTGTGTGTCCCTGATCTCTTTGACACAGAGAAACCAAACAAGGAAGTGGAACCCATACATAAGAAGAGTTCGAAAGTAAGAGCGCTGTGGACAAAAGGAAGTAAGTTAGATGGTTTTATTTAAGTGATGAGTGAAGTGGTTGAATAGAGCTGTCTTACAGGACAGTAATCCTGTTTTGTGACAGCTTTCAAAGTTTGTAAACTGTTTTTGGTTTGCACTGGAACAAAAATAGAACCTATCAATTGTTACAGTAAAACAAGGAGAAAGACTTGCCAGTCAAGCACCCTCTAGGATAGAAGTCCAAGTTCCTTTTTTTTGCTTTCCCTGATTCACAGCAGCTTTTCACTTGGAATAATGCTTTATTAAGTAAAGCAGGAACCTGGACTTCAAACAACGAGTGGGACAGCCACAGTATCTTCTGTATTATTCTTTGGGAATTCCCCAAGGAAAAGTACAGTGAAGAAGGAAGAGGATGGCATGTTACACGCTCTACTCCACTGGACACTTATAAGCTATTTTTCCCCTCTGTCTAGTCCTCTTGTTTTTCTAAAAATTGATTGCACAGATGCAACAAATTCAGAAGTTACCAGGACAGATAATGGACAATAAGCCATAAGGACTCCATAAAGTGCTCTTGTTAAGAATACACATTTAAACTAAACAGATTCCAGCTGCTAATCCATCATGAAAACTGAAGGGTTTTTTTTATTAAAAAATCCAAATAGGAGCATCTCGTTATTTGCCACCCACTTCTTTCATTCAAGACTGAACGATCTCCAGAGCTTGCACACACCATGTTAAGGCACTTAAGAGAATGCAGCTGCAGAATCCACCTTTTTGCACCACACAATGGACCAAGTAAAAACCAAATATAAAGTAAAGGTTACTGTGCAAGATAATATTTAATTTTATATTTCCAGCAATGTTACACAGTCATCTCTTTTGTTCTTTTGCTTTCACAGATATATTTTATGGTCCTGGTAAATGTTCTCCTAGCCTACTCTTTGGTTACACTTTTGTTCTTGATGAAATAATCACACAGATAAGTTTCTCCATGGACTCCAGAGGCTGGAGTCTGGATTTGCAGAGGTCGCTCTTAGTCTTTTATCCAAGACAGTTTCTAAACAACTAGAGCTCTGATCTACAAATCACTTCTGAACTCACTGCTGGTCTTAAGCTCAATTTAAGTGATTGTATTTTCTTCCCACTGTAGGAGACTTTCTGTTCCAGACTAGGGACAGCTGGATGACAAAACGAAATGGGCTACATATTTTAAACAAATCAGTACTACCTAACCAGTTGGCGATTCCTTCACTAAAGTCAGAAATACAGGGAGAAATAGGAAGAAAAGGATGGACGCATCCTAAAAATTGTACTTCTGTTTTAAAAGCTAAAAGTCCTATTCCACTTCCTCTCCCCATGTAGCAAGACCTTCAAAGATGAAAAAAAATATGAATGCACTGAAGAAAGTTTATTGACACTCAGCACCTGACCATTTAATGAAGCATTTTTTCTGGGCTCAAATTTCTTAGCATTACCAGCGTAACTTGTTTGGAACTTTTGTAACTATTTTAGTAGTTGTAGATATATTTTAGAATTATTTCCAGTATTAAACATCAGTACAAACAAAGCTTACTCTTGAAAACATTCAACATGAGGAGCACATCAAATGATGCTGAAAAAAAGAGCCCAGCAATGTGTCTATTGCAATAGAAGTCCCAAATCTGTACTTCGTCAACTACTCTCTGCCAAGACACCAGAAAACCAGATGCAAGATAAGGTCGTTTACCTATGCATCACTCTTTATTCCACAAGAGCCACACATAGAACAGTACTGTCTGTGTGTTCAAAGTCAAAAATTTTACAGTGAGTAATACAGAAAAATTACATCACTTTCCCATGAATTGAGATACTCTTCAGTTGGCTGCTAAGCATCATTAACTCACTTTAAACAGGTTTCAAGATCTGCAGGTCAAGGTCTTGCACTGGAAGGGAATCACTAATAATGAACTCATCAGTTTCCTTCCACCCTAGCCCCAGTACTGGTTACTAGTTACAAATTTTGTCAGGGTTTAAAAGCTCTGCTCGTGACATGCTCTCAACTCAAAAAATTAAATCTGTAAATTGGAACACTAACTGACACCAGTACAAAGTGCCTGAAATATCCTCTCTATATGACAGAGAACATCCAACACTTACAACAATATTTTCCTCATTTTTAGCTTCCATTCTTTTACAAATATTGATTATTTAATTGCAAAATCTGTAGAGCAGAAACAAATAATGGAAGTATTTGGTTTATAGTATGCAGCAGGAAATTGAAACAAACCTTTGCTACTGAATCCTTCTCCAGATGAGCTCTAGAACCACAGGAAATAGCCATCTGGTTCTGTACAGGAATATAAAATAAAGAGTTATTATTTAAACTAGTATTTTCAGAATCAGTGGAATCTTGTGTTGAGAACCATGTAATAAAAAACCTTAAAAACAGTATATTTTTCTGCTTCCTCTAGCTGCACTTTTTCTACTGCTAAATTCTGAGCCTAAATCAGTTTTTTCTACAGTTAACAGATAATCTAAAGTTTATTACAATTTGCATATAGTGCATAGGAATTGCTTCAATTTATTCAGGTTTGGTTTAGCTTACATTGTTTACTGTACGCATACAGTTTATGTGCTTAATAACACAGATAAGCATGCAGCATTCCTAGGAACTGAATGTTTTCCTTAAATATTGTGCAATAGAAGGGTAACAGAATAAAGTACTTGTTGCACTGATGTACCTTCAAACAAATAAAATGCCATGGTGTTAGCCAAAAATATAACCTCAAATTAAATCAAGGCGATGAAAACAAAAGGTTTAGCATTATTCTCATGCTACTATTTCTCAGATGAAATCTCTCAAATATACTATATTTGAGAGTGTGGGCCTGATGCTGGAGAAGCAGCTGCCCTGACAGCAAAGACCATCAGGTTCACACTGGTGCCTGTTAGCTCCTGCACTTGTGCTTCTGCACTCACAAGACCATGACCCTTTCCACAGGCACATCCCTTGCAGCGCTGGCTGGAAGGCTGCATATCACTTCTGGCCTTTGGGAAACTAGCTACAAGTGCCTCACTCACCTGTGTTTAAGCAGAAAATAAATCTCAGTTCTTTCAAGTCAAGCTCCCAAAAGAGAATGACTATGCAGGGAGGTGTTCTTGTTCCACAGGTTTTTGAACTTTTATTTACAATAAAAGCTCTTCCAAATACTGTCATTTAACCAAGGACCCTGAGAAAAGAAAACCTCTCTAAAAGAGTGTGAAATTAAGATGCATCCTAAAGATATATAGGATGACATCAGATAAAATGGAAATACAAAACAGTTAACAAAGAAAACTAAGTAGGCAACACATGGTATTTATATAGAACAGAACAGCTTCAAAGAAGTTAAAAGAAGGATAAAGAAAACATTCTGTACTGCACCGAAGTAGGCACAGTGGATGCAAAGGATGTTAAGAACTCTGTGGAAGCTCTTTCTGACAGCCCATTCTTGAGGCTTCTAAGTTTACATGTAGGTCTTTAGACTTAACATCTTCAACTGGATCTCAAAAAACTCAAGTTGAAGAGAATTACAAAGATCAATCTCTGTGCATGTGTATTAAACTAAAACCATGAGAATTTATACTCACAGGCCATGGCTGGAGATTTTTTAGTCCTTCTTCTACTTTTTCAATATCTGCAAATTTTGTAGCTCCATCTGCATCAGCCATAAGAATTTTCTTCCCCCGAGAACTAAACACACCCTGCAACGAAAACAGTCCATAAAAATCAACACTTTTGAAATCACTAGTTGTCATAAACTAGATGCAAAAGATCCAAAAACCTAATTATAGTAACAAGAACAGTGATATCTCACAGATTCAACACAACAAGTGAGTCTTAATATTCTGCTACTAACAACAATATAACAATTTATATTATAATAACATCTAGAGACTTCACACACTGCATGGTGTCCCACAGTGACAGACAGTGCGTGAACACAAAAGGCTAACAGTCCCTCTGAAGAGAAGGTTGCAAAATAAAAGCTTTACAAACCAAAACCTGAAAGTCAACAATTTGCTACAGTCAGCTGCAGAGGGGAGTACAAGAAGCAGTGATTAGCAGCTGCCACTGCACTGGATGGCTTTTCTTTGTCATTTGAGCTATGGAAAGGAGGATGCAGTGCTAGTTTTTCTCAACACTGTTTCAAGAGAACTCAAGAGCTATTTCTCAAAACGAATTTAAGATTCAGTTTTAAGTTACAGTATCACTGCAAAACATTTGTGATGCACAGGTTTCACAGCCTGTTTTGCCATATTCTTGGTCAGACAAATTTCACCATTTTTGAAGAGGTCCAGATAGGAAAACAGTTAGCAGTGGGTTTGACTGAAGTACTGTCGCAACCAAGTATGTGGTGAGTTTGGAAAACCCTGTCAAGGAAATATTGTATACACATCCACTGTACACTCTGCACTGCAAGAGTGTATCACACAGAGAATTTTCTCCTTCTCTTGAAATAACTTCAGAAGTATATAGCTTACAAAAGTTCCATATGTCCTAATATAATGTTCTCTCCATTTTTTATATTTATTCATTGAAAAAAAAGAATTGACATATTAGAGCTTAAAATACAGATAAAGATAAGTCAGTGGTAACCCACGGACTTACAGTGGTAACCCAACCTTTTTCATAAAAGTAATCTCAGGAAAAAATATTCCTTCTAAATGTGTAACAACTATTTTATTTTTAGGACATGACGATTTCAGGATAATGTTTATGTGAAAGCATGAATTGTGCTGTTTCTGCTATCGAGTCTGGGTGATAACAGTGGGTTTCAGTAAACACAAAATTTGCTGGATGAGAATGATTCTTCATAAGCCATTTTAAAAAACACATCTATGACCTGGAGAGCAAAGTTTGCAAATTTGGCTCTATTTTGTCTACAAAACCTTAACTTTTATCTATAACAGTCTGGTTGTGTGGTTTTTTTGGTTGGTTTTTATAAACACAAGCCTATTTCCAAGTGGAACTAGCATCAATATGAAATCAAAGTATTTTTTTCCCTTTAAAATCTCATATAAAAATTTGTCTTTACTACTGATCTTCCTGGCAAGAAAATACTGTTTACAAGATCTCAAATAAACTTATTTTGAAAAACAGTTTTTGCTTTAATTTATAGAATCTGTACGCAGTTTTCTCATAATCATTTTGTTAATGCATTGAATTCAAACTGTCAATCAGCACAGCCCCATCTTCTACATATTTGGCAGTTCAAACAGAGAAGGAGATCAAAGTATGAATTACCATCCTGACTGCTCCTCCTTTCCCTCGATTTTTTACCAAAGAAAGCACTCGCACTTTGTCGCTTCCATATTTCTTGCAGTACTCCATTGCAACCTGATAGACACACAAAAAACCAGCATAAAGCAAACCCAGGAATCAAGGTAGAAGTTTACATTTGCTCACCCTTTAAAAGAAAATAAATTAACAGCACAGAGCTATAACCACTTCAGTCGGCACAAACACATTGCCAGTGTTCGCTGGAGTCTGTTCGGAAAAATAAAAACCAGTTCACAGTCAAAACAAGAAGACTGAAGAAACTAGTCATGTTCAAAAGAACAGGATACTCCAAACACCATCCTCCCACCTCCAAAAAACTCAATCCTAATTTAACTTATACTACTACAGACTTTTCATATTAACACCAGTAGTTAATAAAAGAAATAAAATTTTCTATTACAGACACTTATTTATCACTTGTTTTGCTGCTATTTGTGGTTTTAAACAAAAATTCACATTGATCTAAAATCCCACTCACACTGCAAGGATTTGCAGCTTTTGTTCCATGCTGTGAGGAAGAGAAAGCATGAGTTTTCTCCTCTTAATTTTTTCTAGGTTGTCTTGAGTCCTTGTAAGTTCAGAGGCCAAAACAGCCATTGTATGCTCAGCTAAAGGAGATGCCAGAAGGAACGTACAGTAGTCAAAAATTGAGCAATCCTTAATGGACAAGCTTAAGGAAAGTAAATCAAAAAGCAGCATGCATTTTAGTAGCTATCTCAAACATCTTCCAAGCAGTAGAAAAAAAAGGCCTCAAGTTAGTGAGCCTTCCTTTCCAGTGATGTATATCAAAGTCAAACCAGAAGAATACAGAAGTATTTTGAAAATAGTATTACTGGCACAGGGATTTTTAAATAAACAGTGCCATGAAGGGTGTGAGGAAGAACTATGTCAGATGTTCTGTCAACCACAGTATGAACTGGGACTTTTTAGCTTCCCCAAGTTCATATTCACATCATCACTATGTATATACAGAGTATTTCATAAGAAATTTCTCCATGTTAGGATTAGAATTCTGAGAATCTCAGTTGCAGGAAAATAGCTGTCACAGTCACCAATCAAGAAAAGTAGAATTTGAAAAGGAATTATATGTGTGTTCATATGCATATGTGACATCCATGACAGACATAGAACAACGACAGAAAGCATTCAGAAATATGAACTTCAGTTGTCAACTATTTTAAGTACTAAAATATAAATACAAAAGACTGTATATTCCACAAATGTAGTAAAAACCCCACACCCCTGATTGCATGGGAAGACACTTTGTTTTTCTTACCTTTGTAGTTTGATCTTTACTACCATCATTAACCACTATCACTTCATAAGTGAATGAAGGATCTCGTTTCTTGAAAATAAGAACAGAAATAATACATTTAACCCAATTTCTTAAGTAAGCAGTGGGTCTTGCAAACATTATTCTTTTCTCCCTAGCAGGTTTTAAATCATTCATGGTTGCCAACAGACAGTAGTATGATATAGTAAATTTGTTCACATGGCATAATTAAAGAATTTTGCCACATCTGATGAACATACCATTACACTGGGTTGTCATGCTACCATCCAGAACTGAAAAATCAATTCACTCGTAAAAGATGAACGTTCAGAATATCATCACTGTTAAGAAAACCCAAACAGAACAACATCCACAAACTTTCACAATGGGCTTCTTACCCAGAGAACAAATAAAAATGAAGAACAGGTACTTAAGAAACTTGTTGGAACAAACTACGGTTTATTTAGAAAGTTAAATGTATGGCTAATTCTTAGCTTTGTCTTGGAAAGGTAACATTCACATGAAGCTTTTTTCATCCCATAGCAATATATTAAAGTTTTACTTAATTTAAAAATACCTTTTGGCACTTGATCTAAAATAACTGATAAGAGACCAAAGTGTTACTTCTAAGTGGCCAAGTATTAGTGTTTAATGTACACCAACATAACAAAGTGACTAGATCACTGACTTATTATACATAATACACCAAAGCATAAAGAACATTGAATGAAAAAAGAAAATACCTGTCTTTTTTCTAGATAATCCATAGCTTCATCCATCATAAGAGGTACTAGAGAAAAAGTGGAGGAGGTCAGGTTAGTAGATTATAACAGGCAAAGCATCAAAAGCACTTGCACAAGCGAGCTGAGAACAACCACAAAGCAAAGCTGAGCAAATCAATTCTTTCATACAACACTACCTTCACCAAACAAGCTTAGCAGCTGCAACTCTAAGTGCTGTCCTTTCTGAATGCAAAGAGAACACTGAAGAAAATCATATACATGATAAAAGACAGGATAAAAACATTTCTTCTGAGGAACCAACTTTTCACTTTGAAATTTATAATTCTCTATACAAGATTAAAAGAAAAAGAAATCATTCTTCATGACTGACCCTGAAACCCAGCACTGACTTTATTTATTTAAGCAAGCTGACAGCTTGTGTACTACCAGGTTTGATTATTTCTATCACATCTGAAAGCCTTCCCTCAGCATCAGGTACTCATATCTATTGCCAAGTCAAACACGAACGTGTGAGATCATCCTTTTTTCTGCTCATCTGAAGCTGCTGCTGTGGGAAGCTCTCAAATCAGTTTTAAAAGTCTTTTTTTTACTTCTTGCCTTGTAGCATTTACAGGGGCAATGAACAACCATTCTTCTGGGGTTCATTAAAATGGAGAGGATTCTTACAAGTGCCCCATGCTATTTTTTAGCAGCAGAAATCAAGTTACACAATGCCTTAATTTTGAAATTCAATGTACTTGGACTGTTTTCTGGAAACTGTGTCCAGAATCTGATACATAATCTGGCCTGCCAGAATCTATCCCAAACATAACTGACCTCTGCATTATTACAGTAACAACAGACAGATTTTCTTCTTTTCCTCAAAACAAGAAAAATCTTACACCGGTCTTCCTCATTGTATGAAGGCACAACAACAGAGAGTTCCCTTGTAGGGGGATCATGTATACTTGGTACAGGTTCTTTCCTGCCTTCAGCACTTATGAAGAATTTCTCTTCTTCGTGTCGGTGAAGGGTTGGCATTTTTTTGGCAGTTACATGAGCAATTGCACAAATCTGTGGTGAAAAAGAAGTAAGAAAAACTGTTGAGCATTCTATTAGAAATTGACCTAGCTCTTGAATATGCTACAAAGGGCAACCAACTGTATTTCAATAATGAGGTAGGACTTCATCCCCTGACTGAATTGCAGAAGATCAAAATCCTCTCATGCCGTTTGGTTACTCCTAGTCTGACCACTGTCAGCATCATTGGCTTATTGCTATTTTCGACTGCAAAGCATGCAGATGCCTCCAAAGTCGTGGTCCAAGCTCCCACTGCCCCTTCTCCAAGTAATCGCAAGCACACAAGCCGGCGCTGCTCCTGATTCCACCCCGTGCCACTGCAATCAATGGCATGGCTCATGACCAGCCAGCCCCATATGCTTGCAAAACAGAGGCTCTGATGGCCTTATGAAAGGCTAAAATAAAACCATGGAACTCGGGGTTTGAAGCACTAAGTTTGGTGACACCACAGACAGAATCACAGAATCAATTAGGTTGGAAAAGACCTCTGAGATCACCAAGTCCAACATCGACACCGAACACCACCATGTTAATCAGACCACGGCACTCAGTGCCACGTCCATTCTTTCCCTAAACACCTCCAGGGACGGTGGCTCCACCACCTCCCCGGGCAGGAGGCATACGTGGCACTGCGGACAGGCAGCAGAATTCCGCCTTGCAGGGTGTCCAACTTCTGCAACTTGCCGGCTATTTCAGCCACGCAGAGGCACGGCGACTTCCCAAATGGTCACCGCGAACGGGCGTTACCAGGACATTTCCCAAGGAGTCTTTATCCCCTCCGCAGGTCCCCGGACGCCTTGCCCGCACCAAGCCCCGCACCAGCGCAGCCCCGCCGGCTGCTGCCCGCACGGATCCCGGTGCCACCCGCGCTGCCTCCGGCCTGGGCCCTGCCCAGGCCCCGGGACCCCCCGGCAGAGCCGGGACCCGCGGGTATCCCTCCCGCTCCGCACCGCGGGGCCGGGCACGGGGCGGCCCCGCGCACCGCCCTCGCCACGCAGCCCCCCGGGCCCGCCGTGACCGCGGCGGGCGGCTCTCACCAGGACGAGGAGGAGGGCGGCGAGGGCCACCAGCGCCGCCGCGACCGCGGGCAGGGACAGGGGCAGGGACAGGGACAGGGACAGGGGCGGCGGCAGCGCCATCGCCCGCGGCGGCGCGCGGAGCCCGCTCGCGCGGCGACAGCGAGGCGGAAGCGGCCCCGCCGGGAGCCGCTGCCGCCGGGAGCCGCCGGCGCCCCCCCGCGGCCGGGCCCCGCCAGCGCCGCCGCCCGCACCGCCGCCGCCAGAGCCGGTCCGCCCGCAGAGCCCGCCGGGCGCGCCCGCCGCCAGGGGGCGCTACAGCCGGGGCGGCGCCGGTGCTGGCAGGGCGGCCGCGTCAGGGTGAGCGCCTGGCCGGGCTGCCGCGGTCCCGCCCGCCCCGCTCCGAGGGTCCCACCCGATCGCGGTAGCGCCGCCCGGCCCCCCCTCTCCCCCCCTCCTCCGCGGCACCGCGAGCGCGAGACGAGCGGGCTCGGCGCGGCTCCCGGGATGGGGTCGGTGCTGAGGGGGCTGCGTGGCCCCGACGTGTGCGGGGGGACTGAGCGAGCGAGGGGAGTCCAGCCGAGAAAAGGCCCGGCAAAGCGCGGAGCTCGGTGTGGGGTGTGGCCCGGAGCTACCTGGTGTTACAGAATCGCGGAGTATCCCGAGTTGGATCCACAGGAATCACCGAGTCCAAGTCTTGGCACACTACGTGTGACGTCTCACATCTGAGAGCCTTGTCCAAACCTTCTGGGACTCTGTCAGGCTTGGTGCTGTGACCACTTCCCTGGGAAGCCTCTTCCAGCACCCAGCCACCCTCTGGGTGAAGAACCTTGTCCTGATATCCACCCTAAACCTCCCCTGACACAGCTGATAGCATTACAAGGAGGTGTAAAATTGCCCCCCTCTGTAGGGCATTCAGTGGCTTCCCATTTATAACTTCTCGTTTTAGAATAGTAAAATGGATTGGGTCAGAGGGAATCTTCAGAGATCATTTCATTCCAACCCCGCTGCCATAGGCAGGGATACCTTCCAGTAGACCAAGTTGCTCAGAGCCCCATCTAACCTGTCTTAAATGCATGAAGCAAGTGCTTTTACATGAATTGGAAGAGAACAGGCCTTGTGCTGGGCTTCAGAAAACCCAGGAGCCAACAGGAGCTAATTCTTGCTTGCCATTATGTTTGTGATATCTCTATGTTAGTTTGCATTTGGAAAACTTGCTCTTCCCATTTATCTTTGCTTTTTCCTCCAAAAGCACTATTTTAACAAAATGTGAATTCTTTAAGTATTAACAACAGTTTTATAAAAAGTGGGGATTTTTATATTAATAATCCCTGCTTAAAATACACAAACATTGTTAGTATGTAATTAATGAGTGTTAATTATTTCTCACCTGAAGCATATTTTATAATTTTATATTTTCTCAAAGATTCTAAGAAAAACTGTAGCATTTAAAATTGTTTTATACCATTCTGTCCATCTGAATGCGGTCCTTGAACTAACAGGTATTTCAGACAGTTACAAAATTATGCATCGTGCATTTCTTGAAAACCATTTTACACCCTTCTGTCAGTAAACAATTCTTATGATTTATAACTAATATAATTGATGTGAAAGCTAGTAGTTTTTGTTAGGTATATGTGCAGGCAGGTTCTTTTTAAGGAGGAGGATTTTGGAACTGAATGTAGGAAAAAAATCTTAGATCAGAGTTTCCTCATCTTCCTGTAACCATATTGCTAAGCAGCTTTGCCAGGCGTCTTGATTCTTAAATTATTTGTTGTGGGTTAGTGCTTGCTTATCTTTTTTTGCTATCTCTTGCCTACTCAAGAGCTTGCATGTGAACTTCTCTTTCTGTTTGTTTTAGAACTCTTAAACCACTGGAATATTACAGGTTTTTGGTGAGTAAAACGAGATGCCTGTATATCAGGTTATAACAGTGAACTTAATGACTTGCTAATTGGTTTTCTTGGTTCTTGCTTTGAAACAAGGAAGAGAAAGGGTTTTTATTTACTGTTTCAGCAAGCATGAAAGAGAATGCATGGTACAGTAATATACTTTAATACTGTTTTCGGTCCTGATCCTGGGCTGATGTGCACAGTGTAATTACTCAGATCTGCTCCTCTCTGGGTATGTGCAGCAGAATTTAGGTGGTTGTGGAATCTTGTCTCTGTCTAAGGTCGGCAGCATCAAGGCATATGCTGAACAGCACAAAACTGATGCCCAAGCATCTTGGGAGGGACACTGAGTCCTGGCTTCTGCTGCGTTCTGAGCTTGGTGTGCAACTGCCTCGAGCAGAGGCAAAATGAGCCAGCAATGTGCCCTTGCTGCAAAGCAGCCAATGTTCTCCTGGGCTCCATTAGGCACAGCATTGCCAGCAGGTCAAGGGAGGTGATCCTGCTCCCTGCTCAGCACTGGTGAGGCCACACCTGGAGTATTGTGTCCGATGCCAGGCAGTCTATACAAATACCTACATTCAAATGTCAGTTTAGTGGCATTTTCCTGCAATACATGGATGTCACAAATCCAGGAAACTTCAGGCATAAATCTGTGTTTTCAACAGACATATACATTTGGTTATGTGGAATCTCCCATTTTTTGACTTTTTAATTTTTTTAAATTGGTTCTCTTTAGTAAGAAAACAGGTAAGCCTGGGCACTAAATCCATCTACAAGTATTTTTTAAGACAATAAAAATTAATGTTATGTGTACTTTACAGTAATGGTAATGGAGCAATATGTACAAACATGTCTGCATGCCTTTCTTTCACAAGCACATTACTCATTGTTGATCCTACTGCTGAGGAAGATGATTTAGCAACTGGAACAGTAACCACTGTCACTGATGAAGAAGGCAGACTATGTTCTGTCCATAAACCAGGTACTTCCAAATTTATTACAAAGAAACCTATGGAGATGACAACGTTTAGGTCAAGAAAAGACTATGTACCTGCTTTCTTTTGTAAGATTTGGGTGCTTTATAGTAATGGAGCATCTGCTCAATTAAATTACTTGCTCTTGAAATTAGTTTTTAAGATGGTGGCATCACTGAAATTCAAAAAATCGTCACAGCTTGACCTGCATACAGCAAAGGACAGATTTTGAGCATATTTCCTGTTGCAGCTCTGATTTGTTTCCACTGTCTTTGCCTGAGGCTGGAGCTGGGAAAGTTGCATGCTCCCCAGGTGAAAAGTGTTGATCATGAGAAGTAGAAAATCAAATTGTTCCCTTTAATTTTTAGGTGGAAGTCTTCTTACAGAAGCCAAGCTTCAGGACTGTATCACCAGAGCAATTACAAGACACAAAGAAGTAAAGAAGGTGATTGACAAAGTAATAAGTATAATGCCCGAGTGAACAAAAGGAGAGATCTTTTAAAAAATGGATTTGTAAAAATGTATTTGTTACAGTGTTCACAAACCTTTTATACTAAATAAACAAATACCAATACAACCTTTACAAAGTTCATTTTTTCTAAAATATTTTTCACCCTTATTCTATGTACAGCGCTTTTGCGTGGTAAAAAATACAAGTTAAAACATTCTGTTAAAAAATTAAGTGACGTAAGGAAACCAGATCCTAGCTGCTTTATAGGTGAAATTGCTACGTTCTGTAGGTTTGGCTTCCAAAATCAGTTCATTTTTTTTTAGTGTAATGTCAAAAGTTAATTTTCCCATCAGTAATAAAAAGCACTATTTTAACTTTAAGCTTTCTCGTTATTAATCTGAAAAAAATCCCCTTTGAAGAATTTGGGTTTTGGGGGGAGCCATGTCTCATGATTTTGGAGGGGCTGGTGTGCCTCTTGTCCCTTTACTTTTTGAGTGGCTGCCTGAATGCTGTTGATGGTGCAGGTGAGCTGCTTGTGCTGCTGCCGCTGCCATAGCCATTTGATGCTGCAAGAATCGCAACTGCTGCCATGAAGGAGAAGGGGGAGAAAAAGCTTGTTAGTGTTGACTATAAAGCTTTCATGTCAGGAAGAATGAGAGGAAGGTGGGGGGGAGGGGGAAGGTAGAAAAATGAGGAAACACCAGGTTGACAGAAGAAACACATCATGTACTGGGGCAATGGGTAGAGTCAAGCAGCACCAGTGGCACAGAAGCCGAGAGAATGCTTAACATTTATGTGTATGTGCCCACCTTTGTTTCTTTGCCCTTTCCCTCCATTGCAATAACTGCAGTAACTCAGCAACTTCTGTGAATGTTTGTGTTACATAGTACATTTTTAACATAATACCTTCTCAGTGTAAGCATTGCTTGTAATTTCTGTATATATTACAAAGAGGGGACTGTGTGCTGAAAAAATATTAAAATATTTTCATAAAGCATCTGGATGACAGAGGGGTAAAAGGAATGCTTTGCAGAGCTGTTGCTTCCATGTACTGACTGTAGCAGTGCTACCTTTGAACTTGCAGGTGCTTACATTCACGCCAGTTTAAAATCTATTGGCACCTGGCACAGCTGATTTAGATACGTGCCACAAGCACCCCTTGAATGTTTGAAAATCAGGAAGGTGGGTGGCTTAAATGAATGAAAATAAATTCAGTGCTCCAAGCTAAGACAACCACAGATAATAAACCTTGCATGATAGTTTGCTAAATTCATGTTTGTTTGTTTGTAAGCTGTGAGACCATAGTGACATTAGTTAAAGAAGTCAAAAGGGCAAGATTTTTGATTTTGCAGCCACAAATTGTATTTTTAGTTTGTTGGTTTGGTTTTTTGTGGTGGGTTTTTTTTGTTTTTAGTTTGGTTTGGGGTTTTTGTTTTGTTGGGTTTGTTGTTTGTTTTTGGAGGGGTTTGTGTTTTGTTTTTTGCTTGTTTTGTTTTTTTCAAACACAGAGTGAAGTTGCTGGATTACTTGTAGCTGTTGCAGCTGCAAGGCTTGTTGTTGCTGTTGCAGGGCAGAAGAGAGCTGGAGTCTCTGCTGAGGAAGGCTTTGCCCAGGTCTGTTCAAGGCAGAGCCAAGCTGAGACAACACTGAGAAGGGAGAATGGGAAAGCAGGCAGGTCAAAGAGGTCAGGCTGAGTTTGTCAGGGTTGAGGAAGGAAGACATGGGAATACAGTGTAACATAGGAATACAGGAAAGGGGGATCAATAGAATTAGTTTCAGAATTAAATTGGAAATAGTGCAGAATAAGGTATACATGATATACATACTCTGTTATTTAGAACATAAATAACATAAACTTCATTAGCTAATGAAGTGCTTGTGGAGACACAAAGAGGTTTCTCACACTGGATGTTAAGCACAGAGTTAAAGAAATATTCCTCAATGAAGTCTGGCATGGAAGTTGCCTGCATTTTCTTTTTGTATTAAGTGTAGCTTATTTTCACCTGATACAATCAACTGAACTTAACTGCCAAACAGAGAAGTGTGTGCATTAAAAGTCCAGTATTTCTCACGTAATTCACAAGCTAATAATCAGTAAATTTGCAACTGGACTTGTCTATCTCACATTGGCCTTTTTAGCCATCAGCGCGCTTGTAGCAAGCGTGGGTAGAGCCCTTCTCAAATCTTCGTTCATGAAGCCTAGCCATGATGAATCAGTAAATTGTTCTAACATATGACTTCTTTATGACCAAACTTCATTTCAGTGTGAATTTATCAATATACACACTTAACTACAAAAGGAAGCTCAGCAAGCACATACCTGTGGCTTGAGGCTGCATAAAATTCCCTACTCCAGTCAGGTTAATTACAGCAGCTTGTTGGGCAGATAATGCCTGATCTTGATTGGATGGACCTTGGTCAGACTCCTAGCAAAAATGAAAAGCTTGATCCTTATTACCAAACTTTGGTATCAATGAATAAGCAAACAACGTGTGAAGGCAAGCTTTTGAAGTGCCATTTGAAAACATTTAATGCTATGTCATCCAGTGCATGTAGATACAAGCTATAATGCAATCACTACAAGTAGGACAGATGCTGAATGCCCCAAAACAACTTTGTTCTGGCAGAAATGGCATCGCACCTGTTAACCTACAGAAGTCGCATGTAGTTGTCAACTTCCCTGCAGTCTAGTAGAGACCGCATTTTATGGCTGAAATCTTATGACTGTTTCCTGTCCCACTCCCAGCCCTGAGTCTTCAGGTGACCCTGAAACCATCCATGTGCAAAGGTCCTAATCAATCAAAGTGTGCAAAGCCCAACACTTTACTTTCCCATGTTCATATTGTGCCACACACTCCTTAATTTCATAAAAAAATACAAACCCTGCTTTTAAAATTATATTTTCAGAACAGAGTAGTTCTCAAATAATCACTCAAATGGAGTAAGTGGAGTCTGACAGTATCTCCTCAAGTCAAAGGGTGCTGAATTATGACCTCTCCTAGAACTTACATTATGCATTGATTTATAACATAGGGAAATAAAGCATTATATTCACAATCCAAGCAAACTGCATGGCTTATCAGTCAGATAAAGAGCTGGTGTACTCCAGGAGCTGTGATGCTTCTTTAGCATAACCATATGATATAATGCCCCTAAGATCTAAGTAAACCAGACCAAAAGATTGCACATCAAGAAGACATCACCACCTCAATGATGACTAAGACTTACAGAGTCAGAACCACCCTGTGGGGAAAACCATAAGAAGGAGATGAGAATGTATATATTGTGTTGGTAGCCAAGAAAACTGTTGGTCTTTTTGGGCTTAGTTTCTTTCCACTAAGCACTGTGAGCACCGTGTCCTTATGAAAGGTGAGTGATCTACTGTTTATAATAGCTCATTTTAGGTAATGACCCCCTAGTCTTCCTCTATGATGCACAGTAAGAGAGAAGTGCCTTAGGGCAATTTAGCCAACACAGAGATTGATTTCCTCCAGAAGAACTTTCTGCCACAAGAAGGACTAAGCTTACATCAGCCTTGTCGTAAATGCCCTTGATGTTCTATGTCTAGACAATGACAGGATGAGTTAGCATGAATTTTTTTACAGTAATTCAACTAGTAACTGACATTCAGACATTTGGATGCTGTGAACAAATCTGCAAGTTTCCCATTAAACTGTCCCACATTCCAGAACAAGGCCTGTGACACAGGAGACTAAACATCATAAAACATTTGAGAAAGGCATCTTGTTTATGAAAGGTCTACAGTAGCACAAGCGAAATTATTATGACAAACTTCAGTATCCAGTAGAGACTACACGGTAAGCAGAAGTCTTGCATGTCTGGGAAGATGAACACAAATGCAGAGCAGCTTGTTTTCCCAAACTGCTGCATCAGGTTGGTAAAGATTTATAAGTGCAGGTAGACTAACCACTCAAAATTTATCATTTTGAGAACAGGTCTCGATCAAGACTTTAGACTTTTTCAGTGCTTAAAACTTTTAACACCAGTCACAAGCAGCAGTAGAGCAAATGTCTTAAGATTACAGCCTTAAAGCCAATTTATACTTCTTCTGGTGCAAAGAAAATTCTGTTGAACTACAGCAATGAGGATCGTAAGCCAGCTCACAGCAGTGTAAGTAGGAATTTTTAGTTAACTCTGTAATCGTGACATCATTCTTTTCTCAGTTTATCTGATGTATCTGCTAGTTATGATAAAGCTGATTTTACACCACTCATACAGTCAGCTAGCTCTCTTCATGATAGAGTTAGACAATGCTCAGCCAGTTGTTTTGTTTCAGCTCTTCTACACAGGATACAAATAAAGAAGTATAACCCAGTTCCAGCCATAGCAACAGAGCCCCTGCAGTCTTTGCTGTTTGAGAAGATTTAGAAGGCTGTCCTCCACCTCTGCTACAGATCTGTTGGGTAAAGGCTCATTTACTTGTGAAGATGGGGAGAAACTGTTTCATCCATGCACCCCAGACTGAGGGCTGTTAGCACACACCTGCTCTCCCTGTTGCTGAGGACTACAGGCTGTGGGCTGCTGAGGTTGTTGCTGTGGAGAAAACTGTGACAGCTGCTGCTGGAGTGGGTTAAAAATAAGTAACCACCTGGAAGCTGTTAAAGATTAAAAACAAAAGGCATAATTCAATCAAACTGCTGAGCACCCCACTGTTCTAGGATGAATATAACATTGATAATGACATACTCCCTAGAGGTTTGGGTTTGGTTTTTTTTTTAATACCTTTAAAATCAGTAAGTTTACAGTTGCTGCTGTTTGTGAAAAAGTCTTATGTTCTGAAAACAAACCTGTGTGAAATTATAGTGAGACATGTCCACAGAAAAATACATTTTAATTATTCTAACTAAAACATTAGATATTGTACTAATACTGAAAATGTAAATGTTAGCCTTCAAAAGCCCTGCATATTATTTCCACTTTCAGAATATTCCATTGGATTTTAATACATAGTGAGATGGCCTTGATTTCTCTCCCTTATTCCAGCTTTAATTGCACTGATTTCAGCCAAATATTCTTGGTGTATATGAGTGGCAGAGCTAGCTTGAAAGGATGTACTTCAATGTGGAATCACAAATATAAGCACTTAGATCTACAGAAGAGCTCTACTCTGGCATAATTGCCTCCTGTGCCTCACTTTTCCATTTTTCTGGAGTGTGTACAGGAGTGGGAGGAGGAAGTGGCAAAGTTACAGCTGTTCTTTTACTGGTAGTAACTTCTTGAAGTGTGGTGCAACACACATGGAACACTGATAGCTGCAACTCTGCACCAGTAACTGGCAGCTGAATTCAAGATCCAGGAACTCCACCCAGTTCCACAAACAGTCCCTGTTCTGCTTTTAAATGCAACTCTGACAGAATAAGCAATATTCTGCTCGTGATTATATTTGTATCTATACTTAGTGGAAAGAAAGCATTTACAGACCTTCTAAACTCCCTATCTTACATGAGCTTCTATTTCCCTTACCAGAAGCTCTTTAAACCTATTACTGTACCTACCTGGCCATGCTGAGCTCAGCTTTTAGGCATTCTGTGTGTAACCCCTGAGTGATGCTACTGTACTGTTTGGTACAGTATAATCATAATTTCAGTATAGAGAATGATTTGCAATAAAAGCTTAGGCAAATCCTGAAAATAGAAGATTGTATTTTAGCATTAATCTTTTGAAGTAAAATGTCAGTATTTTTAGATTGTTACTGAAAATTACCTGCTTTGTTCTACGCTAGAAATATAATTTCCACCTGGTATCTCCGTGGAAGTAGGTTTTTCTCTTATTCTAAGCATTTTAAATAAGCCATTAAAATTTGCAGTAAATGGTCTGACCAACTGGCTCCAAAGATGTGTGCAGGGCAATGCAGTAAAAAGGTTTGTATAGAAAGATAAGAAATTATCATTCTTATTGTGTCCAAGAATATCAATTACCTGTAGAAGATTTAAGGGCCGAAGATTTGATGTATTTTTCAAACCAAAGGGGCTGCCTGTTAAAGAGAACATCTTTTCATTAGTAGGGAGTCTTTACTCAGTTATATTTGTGTATTGCAATACAGCTTTCCACAGGGGCTATTTCTAAACATTTGGAAGTTGGAAAACTGTCAAGTGTAAATTTTATACTTAATACAATGCTGCATTTTCCATAATGTTAATTTCATAGTTATTCAGACTCAAAGTACAAGAGAGCTGTATTGCTACTGAACAGTGTACCCTGTAACCTGTAACTTGCTAATGCATTCACATAAAGGTGAAAGGAGAACACCTCAGCAGTTACTCTTCAGTGATTCTTCTGCCTTTAAAAACTTGTACTGTTTGTACAGTAAATCCAAAAAAGTCCACAGTCTCAATGAAGTAACACACTCTAAGTTCATCAGTCTTTAACAGGAAACAATCCCACACAAAATCTGAGCAACTCTCCAGTAAGCCAGCAGCTATCAAGCAGAAGCCCTGGAGGTCTCACACAGACCTGGCTCAGTTCACTACTCCCATCTGTTGTGTGGGTGACAGCACAGCATAGAAAAATCTGTGACACCAAACCGGTAAAGGCTGGTAGTGCTTGAAAGGACAGAATTAGACTAAAAGTGATCCTAGTGAATTGAACAAATGGTCCAAGATTCAATAACATTGAATTTAAAAAAGACAAATGAACAAGTACAAAATCGTAACTAGCTTTGTGTCTATACAGCAAGAAAGGACATGAGAAGAAGCTACAGTAAGTCACAAACATATCCAAATCATCCATATAACAAACTACAGAGCACACAAAAGAACATCTTCAGAGATTTTACATTTATAAAATTCACTGTCACAAGATGCTGTAGGTTCCAGAAATATAAATGGGTTCAAAAACCAATTAGATAAATCCACAGACCAGAAATCTAGCATGGGATATTAGAGCACAAAGATCCATGTGGATATTCTTCAGTTTAAAAAGTCCTCAAAGCTGTATATTGCCAGAAGAGGTACAGTTGTAGAGAGGGGATGTTTTACTTCACACTTTTGCCATCTTAAACTCTTTCCTCAGTATCCTCTAATGACAACTGTCAGAGACAGAATATAAACTGGATGGATTTTTGGCCTAAACCAGTAAAGCCATTCTTACATTACATTGTTAATGTAATGCTGTTGCAAAAAATACAGATAAAAAATAGGCAGACCTCATCTGGGGAAATGTAAACAGGAATGTTGTGAAAGAGATGAGATGCATTTATTCTGCTGTGCTCCACAATGGTAAATCAGCCAAGCTCAGGCTTGTGTCCAGTTTTGGTTATCACATTTTAAGAAGGATGTAAGCAAATTGGACAGTCTAGAAGAGAGTGACAGGATTATGACAGGTTTGAAAAATATGACCTATCAGAAAGAGAAGACAAATGTGGGACATGACAGCGTGTTTCATATTTAGAAGGTAAAGAGAAAGGGTGAACAACCCGTTTTCATGTCTGAAAGGCACAGGAAAAAAAAAATCTTGCAATTAAGGAGATGCACTGTAACTAGAAGCAAACATTTTGCACGGATAATAAACTACTCCAAACAGCTACTGAGGAAGATTGGAATCTTCTTTAGTAAAGGTATTTAAAGACAACTTAGATAAAGATTGGTTCCGTATGGTTAGACAGATTTGGCTGTCTTAGCATAAGGGATGGATATCTTGAAGTCTCCTGTCATTCTCATTCTATAATCATACATTAGGGGTTTTTTCTTTATTATATGTTCAGAAAAAATAAACTGAGAATTTAAAGTGGGCTTTTAAGATTTATACAGTCACATTTAAAGGCAAAAAGGAATTACTTAATTGTTGTACTAGAAGAAAGGAGTCCCAGGGACAGAATAAAATGCCTCACACATTTAAAAAGTGAGTCCTCCTTCTAAGTTCAGTCATGCCCTCTTTCTGGCAGTCATCATTATCAAAGTTGCATTTGAGTTCGGAGTTTCTGTCAAACTTCCTACTGAGCATAACAAACAATCCAGGTTTTGAGTCGAGCTCACCAAAAATCAACTTCAAACAATCTCCAACATAGTTTATACTTTGAATGCAAAAACACATACGTTATTCCTGAGCTCCAGCCATCAAATACACAATCTATTTTGTTCATTTTTCTCACAAAAAGTTCTCATGCTGTCCCTATCTGAAGGGTGGGTCACACCTTTCAACTCAGTCACACTGACCTGCTTGAGAGGCAGACTGCATTGCAGCGGGCAGCGCACTTGGTACCAGACCTCCTGATGGTAAAATGCCACTCAGATTTATACCTGCAGGGGCTATGGCACCAGTGTTGCACCCCAGCATAGGGCTTTGAACCACTCATCAGTGACTGTGCTCCACTGCAGAAAAGGAAAGACATCACATCAAATCCAAGTGGCACGAGTGAATCTGAGTAACTACATTTTTTCCCTCCGTCTCACAGCAAGTAAATCAATTGTTTGTTGTAAATGGGATTAGGGATAAAGCATCAATGCAGCATAAAAAAAAATTGTTTTGCCTAGAGCATAACATGTATGCTCCATATTCTCCGCATATACAGGTTTTTTAATCCTATGGTATCGGCTAAGGAAAATAAACCACAAGCAGTACTTTTATTCTAGAAATACTAAAAGATCAACAGTAATCAAAATGGTTGTACTACCATAAAAGGAACAGGTTTGCATTTTCTTTTTGCCATATAAAAAATATCCCCAATTTATCAACAGTGATCAACTGCTGAACACCTTAGATGAATAATTCAAGTGTCTTGATGCTTGCACTGGACTACGCTATGTGTCTCGCACTGACTATCTTGTTTGCAGAATTTCTTTTAGTCTAAAAAGTAGTTCGTGTTATACCACACAATCAGCATTTATTATTTTCTTTAAACCACAAATGAGTTTTAGGGATCAAAGAATGTTTAACCTCAATATTTTTTTAAATTGATTGAAACAAACCTGTTTCCATTTTTCATTTAAATTGGTCTGCATACGGTATTCTACCTCCTCTCTGATTAATAAAAGTTTTCAAACTTTTAGAGCAAAACCTCAGACAGAAACCAACTAATTGAGATTAAGCCTTAAGAAATTGACTTATGTGACTCCAAAAAGATTAAAGTAATAAAGGCCTTCCTTAATAGACCTTTTCAATATTCCAGTAGTAGGTGCCTTCTATTTGAGAAATACAAACAGTTTCTAGTGGCTCTTCACTTTATAATTACAGATTCTATTGCAGATCCTGAAATGTATCTACCCTAATGGACGGTGGACAGTCCTGGGCCACTCTCCCCCTCCCACCAGTCAACCCATGGCAAATTAAGAAACCATCATAACAGAAGACTTACCACACTGAGCCCACTACATTGATGAAGTTAAGTCCTGTAGGGTTTTCCATGACCTGGGTGGAGGTTGTTCCTGTTGTAATGGATGTTACCATGGTGGAAAGAGGAATGGTCATTACGGGCAGTGCCTGGCTCAGAGACATTTGCTGCTGAGCAAATGGGGTTAACAAAGTGGGCTGAGGGGTGAAGCCTGAATCCTGGGGAGGAGGGGTGGCAGAAGGGGTAATAGGAGTTGAGCTCTGAGCATCAGGAGGGTGTGGGGTCGATGAAGGGGTGTTGGTTGGAGTAGGAGTAGATGGTTTAGGAGTTCCAGACCCTGCTCATTGAGAAAAATAAAAAGTGCTAGTTTGTTATAAAAGGCCAATCCTTTTTGTATAATAAGATTAATGGAATCTTACTTAGCACTGACAACTTGTTCTGTTTTTTAGACTGCAGGTGTTAATTTCTACATGGCACAAGTGTTGCAGCACACACTTGTTGTTCAGGATGCAGTATAATCACAAAGAAAGCCCATTCTCCATGCTTCAATCCTTATGGCATACACCGATTTGTATCCTCCTTTAAGGCTTCCATAATTTATTGTACATTAAGTCATAAGTCCATTCAGGAACACTTACAAGAATTTCTTAGTGACCACTTTAACCTAATTAATGTTTTTGTCCTAAACTGTTAAACAAATACTATATATGCACTGTTTCCACAATAGCATAGTATTAAAAACATATCATGGAAAACAGAGTCAACAAAGAACATGTAGTATTTCAATCATCATAGGACTGATCTAAATTTCATTAGATAGCTAAATTGCCATTTGCCAAATTTTGATCAACTAAATAGCAATTATTTAAGAACCAAAGGATAATACTGCATCTTTAAAAGCTACTGTGTGATTCCTTCTGCTTAAATGTAGCAAATACAGATGTATTTGTTGTGGAGGCAGTAGCCAAAGTTTATCAATAGAAAACCCAAAAACTTGAGCTGGTTTTTTTTGTTTTCTTTTTTTCTTTTTTAGCTTTCATGTCCTGCAGAAAGAAAGGAAATAAATTGAATGGTGACCAGAGCCTTAACGTAACAACTGTGTGCAGCAGATTTACACAATTCATAGCACTAACATAAAACCAGAGTCAATATGTTAGAAGAAAACTTTTGTAAGTTTTCTTCTTTTTTATTTTGTACAAAACAAGAAGGCAGAAAAGTTACACCTTTTGACCTACCCAGTTTTTAAATTATTTAATGCAAAAAGCATATTATAATACTGTGCAGAATACTGGAACCTACAGTGTAGTTATTCATAAGAAAACTGAGAAACTGCAGCTATGGTCTCCTTTTTGTAAAATCTGTTCATGAAATGGCTCAAGATAAATACATATTTTTAAAAAAATTATGATCTATAGCTATGATTACAATGAACCTGTCAGTGTTAATGAAAATACTTAAACTAAAACATCACTTCTGATTGAAATTCGCATTTTAACACCTGAGCATTTGGTGCTAGCAGCAGCAGCATCACCACCACACTTGCAGTCAGCAATGATTTGTAAAACAGTGTAGGAGTGTTTTTAAAAAATCACCTTATTGTTTATTGTATCATCACCTTGGGAGTGATCGGATTATATACATACATAGATACACAACTGCACCAGCTCCTATAACATTTAATAAACTAAATGCTTAAGCTAAGGCAAACTGATCTAACATACTGTTTTTACATTGGAGGAAAAAAAATCTACACTTTAGAATTTTATCTCATCACATCATCTACCAGCCTTTCATATATGAAGAGATCATGCTAATTGCGTGAAATGTATTAAAATGTATACACAGAGGGTGCATACATATATACACAGAAAACAAACACAGTTACAATAAACAGAAAATACATACAGTGAACAAGAGACCTGCCTAAAGCTGCACAACTTACACAATTTGGGGTACACTGTTCATCATTCCACAGGTTAAGAAGTTTATCTAGGGAAGCATTTATGCAAAAGCCTAAGATTTAATGGAGAACTTACGTCATGACTCACTTTGTGAAGAGTTCACAGGAGACATGACAGCTGTAGAGAGCATGCTAACTTGATTAAGATCCATAGATTGTTTCCGAGAAAGACCAGGAGGCTTAGAAGGAGGAGGAGGAGTTGGGGATTTTAGATGGCCACTTGACTGTTGTGAACTAAAAATATTACCTGAAAAAGCATAATTAAAATACATTATTGTTCTGTGAGTACAGATTAACTCAAATATTTGTTAGGTTACAATTTTGTAACCAATATAATCAGAAATCAAAAAAAATTATGCTCTTCTCACAGATAAGATACTAGTATTTTTTTATTAAATCTTTACTAAAGGGATATCCTGCCTTTACAGAACATGTAAAAAGGAAATGCTTGAGTTAATAAATAATTACCTGAAGAGCTACTTCCTGAACTTGAAGGTAATTTGATAGGAGGAGGTCGGTGTTTTACACCTTTCCCCAGCACTGAAGACTGAACAGAGCCTGATATACTTTCTGGCTGCTGGGAAGAAAGAGGAATTAACACTACCACAGCAATGATGTCAGCTTCCACACAGATGACAGACAATTCAAGTAATTTGTATTAAGACACCTCAAAACTATGCCAAAATTCCCTTCAAAACATTTCAAATTTTTACGTATTTATTTAAAAAAACATAACCTATGACCAACTCCCTTTAGATAAAGTGTTTACCATCGAGCAGCAGCATGAAAGTGCTGGTAAAAATTTAAACTGTGCAAAAAATAATCAAAGTAATTAAAGAGTTTCACTTTTCTCCATAATTCTGAAATCCTTCTTAGTACTTTTCACAAATGCAAGCATGACAAATACTCTTGAAGTAAAAGAACACTTTGGTTTTACTTGAAAAGTTGCATAATTTCATTCATTCACTTTGTATTTACTTGACATTTCCAACCAAGACAGATTTAAAGAATAGGACTGGAATTCCTGATTCTAGGAGTAGGATTTTAAATGCATTCAGCAAAATCCTGAATGCACAGAAAACAAGATACATTTCCCCATTGGCTTCAGTGGCATAAAAACTTCATTAATGTTTTTAGAGGGAAGATGCTCCCTTTTTATTTATTCCTAAAATCTACTTATCAGGCTGTCTGAACATAAATTGACTTCAGCTACTTGAGTCTGTAGTTTGCATTCCGTCACAACAGACCCTAGATCCATAATTCCAATAGCTGACACTGTCAAAAGACTCAAGAATGAAACATATTTACAGTTATATATAGTCTATGTATTTTTACCTATACATTTTTACCTATAAAATGTTTACCTATATGTATTTTCCATAAATGAAAGTAATGCCTAAACAAACATACAGCCCACAAACTGCTGAAACTAGAACATGAGGCTGTTGATATGATGAATGGAATATTTCAATGCTGGAGTCTAAATTACATGTGCATGAATTGAGAAATCAGATGATTCTGCATTGTGCAGAATCACCCTTTTTGGCAAGCTTAGCTTCCATTGATTCTCAGTAATGACAGAGTCCCTCTACGTGTTTCTAATTACTTGATTATGAAAAAGCATTTTTTGAAAAAAATTTTGAGGACTACCTTTCTCTTCTTCTACTAAAATCTGCTTGCTTGATTTTGAAAATAAAGACTAATGCCCCATTCCAAAGGTGACTAGAACATCGAATACAGTAACCTGAGTAATTTTGGTCCAGATTTTGGTGGGGGCTTGCACAGGCAGACAAGATGACTTCTGCAAGTACCCTCCCACCCCAAGTTATTATATGATTTTAGTGCATATATACACATGTGCAAGTACATGCCTGTATGTGTATATACATTAACTTTCACATCCCTTTCTGCAGCTGCTGGCCTTGAAATGCTGCTGGTCTAGATGACACCAAGAACTACCTCTTTGACAGCAATGTCGTTGGAGTTTAAAACTAGGTGTTTAGGGGAGAGATGTCACTAGGAAAATAGCCGAACAGATACAAATGTAATTTACTACTTGGAGCCTAAATACAGCTCACTGCTAAAGTACTGAATCTGACCAACAAAGCCAGAAGCAGCACAAAACACAAGGCAATGCTAACAGACAGGAAAATCTAGGAATTCAAGAATTTATACTGGAAATGTTGAAGCATGTGTGGATGCAAATATACACACTTGAAAGTTGTTTGGGGAATGGTGGTTTGTTATTTTTTTTGTTTGGGGTTTTTTGTTTTTTCCTTTGTTTTAGGTTTTCCACTTCAAATTAAAAAGAAAATAATTTTAATTCCTAAAGGTAAAAGAAGTTTAGGTACTCCATCTCCTTCTGTGTTTACTGACCTGAAAAATAAAACATATAGCTGCATTTTATTAGACTGCTCTTTGAAAGGTTCATCTGAACAGGGGAACATGCTAAAACAAAACCCTGGAGCTAACTACACTATACACAGCCAAAAAAAACCCCAAAACATCAAAAAGATAACATTTCAACACAGAAAACATAAATGCTTTCCTTTAACTTTTCCAATATAGTCACACTGAATGATCATGACTACAATACATTAAAAAATTCATTCAGGATGACATGGTTATGTTATTTTACTTCTAAATATGGATAGCAAAAATTATCTTGAGATTTGCTCAGTTGGTTAGAGCACATGCAAATAATGCAAAGGTCATGGCATTCGATCCCCATATGGACCATTCACTTAAGAGTTGATGATCCTTGCAGGTCCCTTCCAACTCAAAATACCCTTTGAAACAAACAAAGCAATCTTTGAAATTGTAATAATTAAATAATCAGGGGAAAATAAAAAATGTGTGGCTCAATCAACTCACTTCCATTTCCTTCCCTGGAGAAAGATGACTTAGATTGACTGATCCACTTGAATTATGAAATATTTTCACAGGACATTTGGCTTCACTTTGTACTAACTCCTGATACTGGTTCACCACCCTGAAACAAACAATGAGGACATAAAAAGATTAACAACTTTTAACTTCTAAAGTAGATACATATATATAAACACATAATTGTATATGCTATGGTCATATATTTTATATATTATGTAAGCATAATTCTATATACAATAGATATGCACATTTATAAAAAGTATTTACATCTCTATGTGTCTTTCTACATTATGCTCCTGGGCTCTTAGGTTTATTCCATTCTAATGTTTAATCCTTGTCTTTTGGAGGAACATGGAAAACAGTAGGTAGAACAGATCCCTTTCTGAAAAGCAACTGCAGGTCTTTGGGATGTCAGTCAATGGGGATCCCACTCCCTTCATAGAAGCCCAGAATCTTTTTATAAAAGGTATCTCTTCTGCTTATGCTCCCTGTGGAGCAGTCAACCCCTCCTTTAACTTGAGGCCTATGTCAGATGAGGAGTCTAAATACAAGGGATGAACAATCACTCCTCTTTGAGCATCATGACAGACACTTGATTAAGCACCAATAGCACCAGGCAAAAAAATTTAAAATACTGTTCTATCAAACGAAATACTACATCTCTACTAATCTAAGACAACCAAGTTGAGGTAAAACTGTTTCACAAACATAAGCAGAATATACAAAGTGACCTTGGAGACTTGAAAAATCAAGCTGAAGTGCTGTTCTAACTAACACTCTGGCAGACTCAATGAAAAACTGCTGGAATATTTCTATTACTTTACACCTAAACGTGATGAACAACATTTTATTTTGGTATAGCACTGATTCTGTAATATGCTGTTACTTGACTAATGCAGACCTAAGCAAGGGCCTCAAGATACACGAGAGAGGAATGGGTGCAGTGTACTTTTTTCAGCAATTAGATTTCAGACTGAATTAAAATTACAGTGGAATTAAGAGCAGTAAAGTGCCATGTACTCAAAAGGTGGTCCTGCCCTCCTCTATTGTTGCATCTTGTCCTAGTCCCTGAAACCCAATTGCTTATTCTGATAGAAGGACTTGCTTTTTAAAGGTTCTGTGCTCATATGCACAGGTATCTAATGTGATGCACACTGACAAACATTTGAAAAAACATTTATTTTGGTGCCTGTTATCCCTGAATTGCTACTCCTACTCATTCTATGACTAAAATATACTGAAAAACTGTCTTATTAGTTGCTTCTCTGGAAAAGCCAAATTAAGTAATGCACAACACACAAAAGTAAGTTGTAAAGTAAACCTTAAGTCCTAGATTATGCTTCAAATGACAAGTTCAAATGAACCATTTCCATGAAGGCTAATTTACCATACAAAATGTCAGGATGGAATTCCTGCTAAGTGCTCTCAAAGTTCAGGTAGCACAACAAACTGTAATCACATATTTGATTTCCTCTATTATTCCTTGCTTCTTAAATACAGAAACTACACACTATATTCTACTTCCTATTACGATGATTAATTCCTCTTATTTCTCCTTCTCTGTTCTGCATCTGTTTCTATAACCATAACAAAATGGGTAAAAGGAACAAAATTCATTATTTGGCACCAAACCAAATGGCTTTACATACTATATTAAATTACCTTTCAGCATCAGTCTTCGAACCAATAAGGAACCTAAAATGTAAAATACATTTTCAGTCATGAATTGGACTAAAAGACCATATTTTTATAATCACAAGACTTCAAACAAATGTCAGTGCTTCCTTTTTTTCAGACCTGCTCAACATACAGATGATTATGTATCCATTCAATGGACTGGTTATTATTCAGTACTTGAAATATATACTTGAATTCCTAACTATATATAAGATATACACACGTGGTCTAATGTGGTCTCCTTTAGGAGTAAATTACCTACAAAGCGGAAGGCAGAATATGGAAGTTTTGGATTTTATATTTTCAAAGAAATAGACATAACTGCTACAGAATTGTTACTGTAAAAAGTACAAAGTTATGTATAAATGAACAACATATCAATATGCTCACACTGAAATATAACTGTCCTAAGGGTATGTCAAAAGCAGCCCTACCCATTAATATTTTAGCAAATATTTAGCTTCCATTATTTGATTTCACTTATGCAAATTCCAATTCCCTATGATTTTCCAGCCCTCCTAAATAAGTATTTCTCTTCTGCATAGCACTTACGGCTTGCCAACTTATTACTGCAGTGATTTTTTTTAAAACACCTTTTTTCTCTTTCTCCAGCTCCAAGAATTAAAATAAAAATTAAAAACATTGTTTTATTTCACTGAACAACAAAAATGTTTACTTCACCTTTTATTTTGTATGACAGTTTGCTAATGAAGAATTATCTGAGTTTTTATGAACTTTAATTGGCAGTATCTTAGCAATGAACTCCACCCCACCACCACCACCCCAGGCACCTAATACCTCTAAATGATTTGATTCCCAACCTTATTACACAACTCTAAGCTAGCACTGCTGTTCTAGGAAGATAAATTAGTATGTGTGCTGGGTTTGGCTGGGTTAGAGTTAATTTCTCCATAGTAGCTGATATAGGGCTGTGCTTTGGATTTGTGCTGAAAACAATGTTAATAATACATGGGTATTTTAAGTATTCCTGAGCAGTACCTACAAAGTTCTTTTTTGCCTCTCACCAGCAAGTGGGCTTGAGGTGCACAAGAAGTTGGGAAGTGATACTGCAAGGACAGCTGACCCCAAGTGACCAAAGAAAGGGTATTCCACACTATATGGCATCATCAGCATATAAAGCCAGTGGTAAAAGGAAGGAAAGGTGGGGGAGTGTAATTAGGGTGATGGCTTTGTCTTTCCAAGTAACCTTTAGGCATGATGGGGCCCTGCTCTCCCTGAGACAGATTAACACCTACCTGCCCAAGGGAAGTGGTTAATTAATTTCTTGCTTTTGCTTTGCTTACGTGTGTGGGTTTTCCTTTGCTTATTAAATGGCCTTTATCTCAACCAACAAGTTTCCCCACTTTTACCCTTCCAATTCTTTCCCCCATCCCAGCAGGGAAGCAGGGGAAGAGGGGCAGAGCAAGTCTCTGCATGGTGCTTAGTTGCCAGCTGGGGTTAAACCACAACAGTATGGAAACAAACTATTCAAGTCTATGGATAAAATATTCTTAATACTCAAGATGTTTTAAGATTTGGATAAAAAATAAGAGAAGAATTACACACTAGACAGTAAAAATAATTCTCATTAGCAGAATTAAAAAGTTTGCTCAGGCTCACTGCTCCTTGCCTTACTGAAATTTATAGGTTCTACTCTGCTGTTCAGGTTCCTCCACATAAATAATCTGGTACATACAACAAAAAGAGCCAAGAACAGAAAATCTTTGTAGAAACACAGCCAAAACCAGTATATTCAAACCAATTAAAAATTAAAAAGCTTCTTAGAAGCTTATGTTTTCCTTCATTTATTTAGCTTAAATTTCTCTGTCTAAGGGTAAACAGAATATAGTCAAGTCTCAAGCTTTCACAGCATCAGGGAGATTTTAAGAACACTAAAAAAGCATGCAGCAATGTCTCATGGTGTCTCCAGAATTTTTGTGGATTGTGTTTCTTGGTGGTTGTTTTTACATTGTTGTATTTCTTCATCTATCAGGTCACAGCACAGTTTAAAAATGCATGTAACTTACTGTGATGGAGTTAATAGGTTGTCATTTTCCTCATCACCTTTGAGTGTCTGAATTTTACCATAGTACAAGGGATTGCCAAGAGACTGGAAAATGGTCAGCTTTGTTTTTTGAAGCTGAGTACCAACTTCACATTCAAATATATAATCATCTTTTATTTCCTAAAAAGACAGAAGAAAATAACCTAGTAACAACTTGAACAACTGTTAGCAGAACCAGTGAGTAAAACAGACCAGCTGTATATACAGTATAGTAATAAACATTCTGTAAGTAACTCTGTGAGTAAGTAAAACTCTACAGGAAGGAGTGCATTATCTGAAATGAAAGTGATTTGAAAGTTATCTAAAGGGATGAAAGGAAAAAGAGTTTATCACCTCTTGAAAACACAAATATATTGAAAAACCTAAACAATCATTAGACATGGAAAGGCAGACCGGGTAAACATATATAAGAACAGTTTTATAGAAATTATGACAATGCAAAAAAATGTTCAGAGCAAAACACTGGGAGTAAAGATTAAGTTCTATGGGAAAGTATTACTTTTTTCCAATATGAAACTACAAAGACATCATGATACATGCTGTTAATAAAGATAGTATCTTGCCTCTAAAATTATAAAAAATAATCAATTATCTATGGCTGATTACATTTAATTACTACTTCTTATCAAATAATGTAATTTGTGCCAAAAATCTTAAAGTTCAACTTGCATATTGCAGAAAGAGCTTTTTGTAAGAGGCGTTTAATACTAATTTCTTTCAAAATTTAACATTTTGATTTTAACTGAAGCTCTTTTCCATCATCCTTTGAGTGTCTGAGTAAAGAAAGCAGTTTGTTGAGCAGAGTGCTGCTCCTTGTAAATTATTATGCTTTCTTCACTGCAAGCTGCTCTTCCTTGTATTTCTGGAAAATCTGAGGAAATTACAAGGTATCCTTGCTGTACTGTAGAAAATTACAAGTATCTCTGGTAATCTTCCTGTGTCTATGTAACACATGGAAGATTAATTCCATTGGGACAGAGAAGATTATTCCTAGATTATTTTGATTTTGTTGAAATAAGAGGCATTTTAACTAAAGACAGCAAAGTTTGGCCAAAGGTCTAAACTACTCACATGTGCTGGCCAGACAGTTGGTTGTGAGTCATCAGGCTTGATAGACTTTTCCACTTTGGCATATTTTTCCACCTTAAAGAAAACAGAGAGATCAGAAAAGAAAGAATCCCATTTTATGCATTCAGAAAAACTGAACTGGAGAATTTTCAGAACTTGACATTTACAGTGTTACACCGTATTTGCTATGTTAAACAAAAGAGTGAAGGAGGTGATTGTCCCACTCTGCTCTGCACTGGTGTGGCCTCTCTTCTTTGTGGTGACAAGTGACAGGACCCAAGGGAATGGCCTGAAGTTGTGTCGGGGAGGTTTAGGATGGATATTAGGAAAAATTGATTCACCCAGAGGGTGGTCAGGTACTGGAACAGGCTCCCCAGGGAAGTGTTCACAGTACCAAGCCTGATGGAGTTCAAGTGTTTGAACAAGACACTTGGTGTGATTTTTGGGGATTTCCTGTCCTGCAGGAGATGATCATTGTAGGTGCCTGCCAACTTAGGATATTCTATGATTCTATGAGTCCCTTCTGTACACTGGTAGTATGTGTTTCAGCAGTGCCAGAAACTAAGAACATGAATGTCCCTGAGAAAAGAATGCACACAGGGTGATCAAAAGAACTCTCAACTAGAATTCTCTGTATAAAAATCAAAACTTCTCAAAATCATAATGTGCCATAGTATCATAACACATCAAAGAGAGGAATTTCTACCAAGATGAGAAGTGACTCATTTTTAAATAATCTACAAACCTAATTTGTTCTTCTGGTTTTTATATTGTCAAACAACTTCAAACAGACATTTGCTCACTGAACCCACAGAAGAAAAATAGTAACAGTTGTACTGTTTACTTCATACAAACTATTCTATTACAATTGCGGTGTGGTTTCACTTGTGTTTATAACTTATAGTACAGAAAAGTAATTGTAAATGGTAAAGTTACCCCATTTTTATTTTCTGATACTGGATACTCTTTAGTCACTTCTTCATATAATACAATGTTCAATACAATTGCTAATAATTGCTAATGGTAACAACTGGTCTTACGTCTACTTCAGAAGGTGCAGTCAAGTAACAAGGGTTCTGTTTCCACATATCTACGCACTGGAAAATGAAAAAGCAGGATTAATATATTACATGCTTTAATTAAACAGTTAGAAGCATATGAAATTACTTCTCAGAACACTTACGTTTCCAGCTTTAGAAATTTTGAGGTCATACTGCTGGGCTGCTTTCCTCTCCTTCCTTTTCTGTAAGTAGTCAAGTAGTCTGAGCTGAGGTGGAGTTGAGTAGTGAGCTACTTCCTGCTGTCTGTTCAGAGAGGACCTTGAGTACCTTTTGAAGCACCTATGGCAAAATGACACAAGCTTGTAAAACCATCAATATTAAATTCTCCACTGCCTGTGTATGAACACAAAGATATGCAGAGAACATCCTACTTACATTGAGACTAACAGGTTTTTAAAATATTAATTTAAATTTGCTGTTCTGGATTATACTGTACAACTCTTTTTACTTCATATTTATAAAATATACTAGTATTCTGTTCATGAGTTTCAACACTAAGAACCAGGTTATTTTTTAAATGCATAATTAAAATACATTATCAAAAGGAGTAATTAAGAAGTTGCTAAACTTAAAATTCTATGATTCTATGATTTGTATATTATCACAGATTTCAGTTCCATCAAAAGATCTTTGTACTGCTTATGTAACTACAAACACAGTAAATGCTCTCTATTTGTTTCATGACAAACTCGTTGCTATAGTAATGCTGTTCCAGACATTCATTTAACACCTTTGTCTATTTTTCTAGTGGAATGTTTGTTGACCACCAAGCTCACATTTCAAGGACAGCTTGATCAATTTCACTATTTTAGACATTGCCACTAGTTTTGCATTAGCACAGTATTACAATACAGATCTAATTTTAAATATTTCAGTAATTTCAACAGACCATTAGTACATTTCCCTTCTACAGAGTGAAAGAAATTCTTGTAGCAGAACAAATATGAACCATTTCAAGCTTTTGTGGGAAAAAAGTGAACAACCATGCAGAAAAGTGAAATAATTCCAACTTTTTCAAGATTCTGATATGCCTACACTTCTGTTTAGCCTGATCATCAAACATACAAATAATTCCCTTGACTTCTTCATTCAGAATTAAGCTTATACATAGCTTTTAACAGATCAGAGACCAATATGCAACATATCCATTTATATATTTTACAATACTGATCTGCCATCTGACTCAGCCTCCACATAAATTATGAAAAAAAAGAAAGACTAAACTCAAACTGCAATATAACAGATTATGTTGAGAAAATATATATAGACTTTCCTTTGATATACAAAAATAAGCATACTATAGTATCTACTACTAACTGAAATACAGAGCACTTAAATTGAGCACTTAAAAATAAGATATCATTTCTTGCGTGTTTCTCACACAATCCTAATATTTCAGTAAGTATTTCATATGAGTAGCTAAATTTTCACATAAAGCGTTATTTATATTTTTCTTTGAAAATGTTTCAAACTGAAAACTACCGTTTCATGGGGCGAGTGTTCATCTTCTGCTTGTTGTACAGGAGTCTGTTTGTAGTACACATCACTGCTATCGAAGGATCAAGACACAAAGGCTCTGCTGTAGCCAAAATAAGTTGGCTCTCAAGTAGGAGTTTGTCCTCCTGTAATATACACAGCTGTTTAAAATGTTAAATTATGAAAACGTTTACACTAATTAAGCTCTTATATACCTATGGAGATGGAAATCATCTTAGAGAAAACAGAAAAAATTGCGTGTGGACAGTCAACAAAAGAAACTATTCAACAATTAAGTATCCCTAACCATTATTATCAGTTACAGAGCTTGGGTAGGGTTTCCAATACGAAAAAAACCCACGAAATCTGCTGAAAAGTACAGGTCATGTTCTGGGGTTTTTTTTGTGTGGGTTTTGTTTGCTTGCTTTAAACATACCAGTGAAATCCATTTTCTGTCAGTGATTTATATTGATGTACTGGCAATCAGTGCCATAAAGATGATCTACTTTAGATTACAATTTGAAATAGATTTGAGCATGACTGTGGCTCTCACATACAATCACATTGAGTACACCACGCTGTTCAACAATTCACTAACTGTAACTGTACAACTGTAGTTACTTTGGATTCTCTTTACTTTAAAAGTATCAATAGTAAAATAAAGGCGGAGGAGCAATTGTTTCATTAGATTGCCAGTGCTTTTCTGGGGCTGCACATTGCAATGAATGAAGTAGGATAAACTAGTTAGAGTCACTCCAAGGCTGTCATTTTGCACTTCCAAAAATTAAGGTATGATTCTACAAAACCTTCAGCAAATCCTATTGTATTCTATGGCATCTTGTGGAAAGATGCTATTAAGTTAATTTGGCAGCTCTCTGAAGCGTGACCCATGCAAAAGTATACACACTGACAGTTTGAATTAATAAAAAAAGAGCAATTTCTATATTTATGAAAAACAAATAGAAAACTTTAAGTAACTTAACTTTATCATGTATTTATGACATCATTGTAAAGTTTTAAAATAACCTCTAAACCAACTGTGTCCATTTGTAGTTGTCACTTGTTATAGAATGCACATCACAAATTAAAGTCTGAGGAAGAAGAAAGACATAATGGTAATAAGCTTTCAATTGAGTGATAAGATTTCTTAATATATGTTCTGTAATAGTACATATCCAGTCTAGGAACTATGGTAATACTGAGAAATTACTTAAGCCACTTCTTACTTGCATTGTAGGATGCAAAAGAATGTGCTTGCTTTGGTATGTTGGAGATTTCATGTTACCAGACTGCCTATAGTGACGTATTTCTGCTATGACACATCCACAATGAAAAATATTAACCTAGTTGAAAGAAAGAAAAACAACTTTTAAATAAACAAATATTTACCAATTCACCCCACCTCTAAATAGAAGTTTTTTATATAGCATATAAAATTCAGTGAAACTATAAATAAAACTAATCACTAATTTTTTCAGACCAATGCTCTTTACAACATACGAAGACATACCTAAAATACAAGCTTAAAACATACTGTTTCATATGCCAGCAATGTAGTTTCAAGAAATTCCCATGCCAAGCATTGTCGTTACAATAAAGAACAAAGGGCATTTTGCTACATCACAGAGTTGAAGCTGTTTTACAGCTATAACCATAGCAATTTTTATCTCTTTCTCCTCAGTATTTTTTTTCCTGAATAACAATAATATTACAGTTTCAAATGCACAAGTGTCTTTTGATTAGAAACACCTGTGCAAAGCATTCAAAAAAATCAAGGTCTATCTGGGTCCAAAACATTAAGTTCTTTTTGAAAAAAACCCAAAACACAAAAAACTTTCAAACCTGAGATTTTTCCAGAAGATCAACCAAAATAGGTGGTAGTTCCTCTGCATCCAAATATTCAAGCAGCTCTCCTTCCTCATAAGGCAGACGAATGGTCTCAGAATCTGAATTTAAACTAAACATATTACTTTTCTTTTGCCTGACAAGTTCCAACTTTAACAATGAGAAATCTAAAGCAAACTTGCTACAGGGAAAAGCAGGGTTGGCAGAAACTATCCAAACAGACCATTTTTTTTGCACAGTGTTAGTTTTCACATCCCTTTCTGTTCCCAGGGCTTTATTTTGCTCTTATGGTGCTAATAGACAGAATTTTTGCTCGCAGGTGACATACTCTATGCTCTTATTGCATGTCACAGTACCAACAGCAAGGAGATACAACCAAACCAGAACACAAATGCCTTTAGACAGACCTAGAAATGCCTTTAGACAGATACAGAAAACAATCTGACAGAAACAATCTGACAGAAGGAACCTGATGTAAGAGAAACTTAGATATGCAACTCCAGAAACTAAGTGGAAATAAGAGAATGAAAGGCTATTAAAAAGGCTCGTATCTACAGATTTGCACTGCACCTCACAGCTTTATGTAAATTTTTAATTCAAGTACAGTTGTTTGTTCTCCCTTGACCCCTTGTCCCCAGAATGATCCTAGAAGTGGAACAGTTAAATGTGAGCAACAATATATTCCAACTATTTACATAGCATTCTGAGTATTTTTTAAAAATTAAAGAGTAAAAATATTACCTGAACCATTTTTTCCCCTGAGCATAAGTGAATAACCCTCATTTCCCGGATAGAGGTTCACTACCAAACATGACAACGTCTCCTGCATAACCAGCTTCTCAAGTAAATTCACATTTCTCCTCAGCTTCTGCTTTAAAAGTAAACATTGCTCATGAACATAGTACAATGAAATAATTAGTAGAAAGAGAAACAATTGCTAGAATATGACTATTATTTAGATTAATGATAAAGTATACATCTAAACAAGCCCAGTTAAATTTAATTGTGCTATATTCAACAGAGTAAATATATTATGTATTATCACACATAATTATATACACAGGTTTTTTGAATAAAAACCACTCATATAAATTAAAAACCCTAGAACTGGAAGTCCAGAGACAACAGTTAATAAGAATGATGCTATGCTATGATATTATAAATCTACAGTGGCTCTATTTATTTGTATAATTTCTACAAACATAATTTATCCACTACACATTGTTTGATAAAAACAGTAAAATATTTAGTACTTTCAAATATTCCCAACAGAAGCAGATATTTATCTCCAGGATTAAAATACTGAATTACAGTATTTGGAAGCTTTAATTACATTTTCTTGTCTGTATTTGCTGAAATCTGATCCAGCAGCTGCAGACTATTCTGCACACTATTCCCTTATTTAACTATACGAATGATCTTTTCCACGTATAACAGATTTTTAAAATTACTTGATGTGTTTCAGTGACCCCATATATATCCTACCAACTGAAACATTTAAAGACCCCTTAGAAGGGCTTTAAGCAACAAATTAAGACAACCTCAGATTTTTACACCTTCTGGCTGGAGGCCAGAGTTCATCTCTGAATATCAGCTCAGGGAGTTTAACCTGAGTGCTCTACTAACTCTGCCAAGCTACTTATTTCGCATACACCCAAGTAAGTAGTAGTGGGCTATCTTTTTTTTTTTTTTCCAAATTCATCTTTCCATATATATTGAAAAGAGAGAAAGCAGGATTATAACTTACAGGGGAACAAACTTAGAGAAAAAGGACTTGAAACAAAATTAGAATTAATGGGAAAAGAACTGGAGGCGGGTGGGACAATGGGGAATGTATGTCACAGCAACAACAGAGGTAAGAGTGCTCATGAAAGCCAATTTCTCATACAGGATGCTGGAGGTGTATCATCTTAAGCAAAACATTCTTCAGCTAGAACTCCTATTAACCCCTCCACCATTCACCAAACACCAGGAGGCTGCAGGTGCAGTGCTTCAATTTTCAGACACATGCTTGAGTAGGGGATATAGCTATCGGGCTTTCATTTAGACACAGTAGGAAGCAGCCTGAGGTACAGTAAATGCCATTTGAGAGCAAAGTCAGCACTCAAATACTCTGACATCCTCTCTTTTAAAACTGAAAAGCTTTTGAGTATGTTCCCCTGTGTTGGATAAGTTAATTTTTTCATATTTAGCTATGTACTAGCATTAGGACAGAAAGAAATATGAGAATTCTGTAAGTTATGTGAAAGAGATTAGGAAGAAATTAATTACATTAAAGTTATATTTAAAAATAACAAATAAAACAATAAAAAACAATTCAATTTTCCTATCATTGGAATAGAACCAATACAACTTGTAGAAGCTCCTACTGATAATACTGTTAACAGTTCTAATCCAATTTTATTATTTTCAAGAGCTGCAGAAAAAGGATCATTCAATTAAGGGCACTATTCCATCTAAAATATGGGCACAGAATAATTTATACTTACTAGTAACCACTCATGGAATTTCTAAATAAACAATATCTTTTTCCTAAAAATTTGTCTACGTATGCAAAAAATAGCCATGATATTTATTTATGGAAGGCCCCTGCTCTTGTACACTAAAACCTTTAAGCTACATCCAAGTCACTGATTAAATTCTAGTCAGAACTTAGCTCAGTTTTGCTGTAGCAATTAAGAGACACACAATCCTATGCTTGTGGATGAAGTCTGACAATAGTGAAACAGTCTCTTTTAACCTTTGTAACGTGATCTTTGATTTTTCATTTTCAGTTATTACAATCCATAATACAAGAGCAAGATATGTATTAACCATCCACATCTTAGTTCAGTGAATAAGGGCTCTACATACAAATTTGCCTATCATAAGCTTCCAATTCCTTAATAAAGAACTTAATTTTTTATTCAAATCTAGATCAGCAACAACTTCTTTCACCTACGGTGATATTATAACTCTGTTCACTACTTCAATTTTATTGAAGTTGGGTAAGTTTGCCCAGTGCCTTCTAATTTAGCAAGACCTATTGCATTAAAATGCCAGGGTTTTTCCCAGATTCCAGTCTAGCAGGGCTGATCTTCCTGCTGCTCAAATATTTTATTACCCACTCACTATTGATGTTTCAACCTTTTCAAGCCTATAATTTGCTTAAAACCTCACATCTGTGATTTGAATCAGGATCATATGCTAAATATAATTAACCCTACCAGAATCACTGAAAGGAATTACAGATGATTGGTAATTAATATCTCACGTCCGTTTATCTTCTCATTTGTTTTTATTTCCTTGTAAGCAGCAATACAGCTTGTTCTTCTTGTTCCATTTGACATTCACAGTTTAGCAAGGTAACTTGTGCCTTATATTTAGCACTGCTAAGTCTGCTTGAGCTTCTTTGCTAATGCTATGAAAAAATTTCACAAACTTCAGAGTTGACCAACTGTTCAAGAAATAAATTTGAATTTACAACAAAGCACAGAGTCAAAAATTATCCACAGTTTTTCCCATGGAAGTCATTCTAAGCAATTGATTCTGAAACAGTGATACTGACAACAATGCATGCAGCATTGACAGTGGCCCTGAACTTGACCTCAACTGACTTCTGTGACACGGGATTAAGACAGAATGAACAGGTCGCTCAAGACAGTCTAGGCCTTACTGTTCACATTATATCATTCAGTTACTTTAATAGTAATATTCTCTAATTAACTTGTTAGATATATCTGTCCATTCCAGACCATTCTTTTGAAATTCTCTCTTTCCATATAGAGAAAAGCATCTCAAGAGTACACTACATATAATCCTCAGCAAGCATTCTACTTTATTACAGATTTAGGGTTACCAGGTAGTCATTAACTCTCCCATTACCTTGTTTTTATTTCAAACTGAACTAAGATGATGCTATTAAATTACACAGTTTAGTCCACAAAAGTCATAATAATGGTTTCTCCTGCAGTTTTAGCCTTTGGTAACTACAAAAGAAGGAAGAGTTTATTCTTCTTTTAACAAAGAAATTAAGTGAAATAAAAGAAAATGTATTTTCTGAACTTGGCTGTTTAGACAGCAATGAAAAGCTTCTCAGCAATTTCCACTTACCTTTATCTCCGGCTCTTTTTCACGTTCTTGTGTATATAAATCATAGAGTTTTTGAAACACAGATCTTCTGCAATTAAAAAAGCTTAATATGTAACCAAAATTAAATCAAAGAAATGCTATTTAAAAACTGAATACTGAAACTCTTAGTACCTTCCACTGGATAAATATTTTCTTTTGGGAGGTCTGTGATGGGCACTTTCAATGATATACTACAAGAGAAAAGTAAACAAAAAAATAACATACATTATAAAGAAATTTAATTCTATTTACCACACAACTTTACATCATTACCAGACAGTGTTCCATGAATATAGAAAATAATTAACAGCTATGATACATGATTGTTCCAAAAGAGTACTGAACACGATCTGGTCTGTGTTATAGTCATCAACAAGAACACAGCTCAGTTTAGTTGTCAAAAGTAGCATTTCATGGCCATGGCTCTCGCTGCACACAAAGGCTTGATTTTGCATTTGTCTTTTTTAATTACAGTAGTCATTAACAATACTGTACTTAGCTGTTACTGAAGTTCACATAGTTAACACACTGACATTAATGTGGTGAACATGCTAATATACAACCAAATTTATGCATGCTGGCTTGACAACAACTACGATCAAGTTCTCCTCAACAAAACTAATTTCAGGAAGTTTAGTTTTCCCCTTGTGTTTTGCATTTACATTTGTTTTCTCTATAGAGCTGTGCATTATAAAAACAATTCATGTACATTAAATATTCAAATTAAAAAAGAATATGAGAGATATCATCCTACATTAAATATGATTTATATTCTAATAAGGTTTTTCCTAATCTCTATTGTTTGTCTGAAGTATTTTGACTAACAGCTTAGTTCAGAATGTCAGTGAAGAGAGGTTCTCCCACAGAAACACGCATTTCCCATAACAGAGTTCAAGGTAACTGTTGTATCACATCAGCATGAAAGAACACGAATGTGAAGGCACTTGCCTCTTTGTTCTAACTGGGCCACCCTTAAAGAGGATTTTACCATACATTTCTGCCAGCTGTCTCTGTAGAGCTCTGCCTATTTCACAGCACAAAGATACGCTGGTTTAAAAGGGGAAAACTGAAGTCCTGCATAGTCTATCACCATTGCACTTGCTGATATTTGCAGTACAATGGGTAAGAGACAAATACATGACAGCAATTTGAGGGAGAATTTTGTAAACTCAGTGTTATGTGTATGAGTGATTATTTATACACATACACATAATTACATAACATGCTTTTACACTGCTTTTCAGAAAAGATAAAAAAATTACTGTTGTATTTTTATAACTGTGAGACCAATATATTATGTACAAGCAAATAATTTAGCTGCTTCTTACCTCGGCACGATCCAATGCCACTTCCAAAGCTTGTTGCTGCAAGAATCGCAACAGTGTTTTTAGATATTACATGAGTTGTTTAAACATCCTCATACATAAAAACACCACAAAATCTCTATGAATGATATGGACTTATAATTAGAAGATAGGCTCAAACATTCTTTGGCACATACTAAACAGCTGAGACCTCATGTAACTGTATCACAAGGTTTGGCTAAATTATGTAGCCTTAGAAAAATGAAAGGCAATTGGAATTAAAAATAGGAATAGAAATTACACATAATAAAAGCAGTGACAAATATTAACCAAAACAGTTAGCGATGACAATTAGAAAACCTGCTCTCCTTTGTTAAGCTGGTCACTAATTCAACAGAAAGGCTAGGCCAAAGTGTCCCTGAACAGTTGTCCAGGAAGAAAACAGTTTAACTTCTAGGTACCGGTGCCCAACTATTAATACATAAAATTGAAACGATGACCTTGTGCTCAGAACGTTACTTCAGCACACAATACAATTTGCGAAGAGTTTCTTATGACATAAGAAATGGTGGCTAAGAAACAAAACCAGTGTCCACTCCAGATTTTCTCCAAGGCAGGCTAAGAAGTCTGGCCAAAACACAGCAAAATCAGGAAAAGCTGCTCTCTACCCCATTGCGTAGTATACTCAATACCATTTCCTTTAATGAATTTAGCTCCTCTGGAATGTCTTTCACTTCAGTATACCTGCAGCTGATATTCCTGTATTTCAAGAAGAGCAAAAAGAATAATGAGTTCTTTAACAAGTATTTCAAACCAGAATAAACAAAAAAAGAAAGTCTTCCTTGGCTCCTAACTTTCCTCCTCTGGCATTCACTTTAGCTCTGATGCCTCCTTTGTCCAGCAATAATGTGCAGCTGCTAAATGCACCAAACAATGAAACTGATTCAGGGCAGGGAGGAGATAGAGGACAATACTAAGAACCAAAGTCTTGTAGGAGAATGCTTGGGACTTGATTCAGCTCCAGGAAAGTCCAGAGAAGCAATGCATTAATTTCAGGGGCAGGTGGGTAAAGCCCCTAGGAATGTATTGTAATAAGCTCTAATATTCAGTAAAGCTTAGAAACATTTGTAATAGATACCTCTTCCCACAAAGATATTTGTGTTATTTCCTCAGTTTAAACCATCCCTATCAGTTGTTCGTGAAAGCAAATACCTTTATTTGAACATCAAGGAACAGAAGGCACATGAGCCACGTCCACTCCAAGGTAGCACCAGTTATTTCATAGATAGTGAATATTTCATATTTCATTATAATAGAATTCAGGGAAGAAAAACTTGACACAACAACAACAAAGAAATATACAACAAAACCACTCAGGCTTTTCACCATTCATCTACAATGTACCTAACACAAAGTTCTTACCTGTTCATGAAAAAAGCCAGCTACTTAAAGTGCTATTGTTTGTTAGAATCTACCACTACAGAATATGGAGAATATTGCGAGAGAATGGCTGTGTAACCGAGGACATGATTATCAAGAGACCTTGCAGCTGCTGGAAAGCACCGATGAGAAAATGCGAGGGAGCAAAGTAAAACTACCCTGGTAGAAGATCAAAGGAAAGTTAAAGAAAGGACTCTCTCTTGTTAAGAAGATGTTTCTGTCTTAGTGCTGACATTTATGGCCTAAGTGATATATTGCAAGTCCTGTTCTCAAACCCTGTTTTTACTGATAAGGTTTAGCTGAATATTCTCTGTATCTATAGCGAATTAGAATACAGTAAACAACCTAAAAATGTGTCTCTATATCTATAGCAAATTAGAACAAAGTAAGCAACCTATAATCATAGTTTTGTCCAATACGAATATCGCATGCTGTTCGTAAAATATTATAAAAACCTTTGTAAAATCTTCAATAAATGAGACTTAAAGCAACTTCTCCTGCTCGTGTCTCCCAGCGTTCCTGCAACAAATGGTGCCCGAAACAGGGACCGCGTAAGTCCCGAGCCTGCACAGAACGGGACGTTGAAGGGGTCAGACCTCTCTCGCAGCGGAGGTGATCATAAGGACATTGCCCGCAACGTGTCCCGGATCCCTGGTGTCGTATAGACGAGCCTGGCTGTTACGTGCTGCCGATTCCTTGAAGAGCTGCAAAGGCGCGCCTAGATAAGGTATGGAGAGGGAAGCAGCATATCAATTGTTTGGGGATTTCTTAAAAAAGAAAGGGTTAGCAGATATTGACTATAAGAAGGAATTACTTTTTTTATTAGATTACGGTCACTCATTAGGGTTTTTTGTTAATCCCCATACTGTTCATTCTTTAACAGAGTGGAGGAAATTTGGAGATGATTTATGGACGAGGGTTATTGATGAGGATAAAACAGCGAAAAAATATGCTAAGCTGTGGCGCAGTGTGTATAATACTTTGCTACAACATGAGGCTGAAAAGCGGGCAGTAGAAAAAGCTGTAATGGTAAAGGAGGAAAATAAGTCTTTTGGGGAAACCTGGTTTTCTGAATCTACAACACCTCTACCCCCTTCGGTTTCTGTAATGCATGTACCTAGTACTCCTACACACCGCAATGAGTCTTCAGGGGTAGAAGTTATTACAGAAAATAATGCCGCTGTACCATCGGCGCTGCCGCCACCCCCCCTTTCCACGAATGCTATTCCTACGCCTAGCTGTATGCCTGTCCCTGGGGCTGACAGTGACCTTGCGGGGGCTATGGCACGAGAACGTAGAGAAGCATGGGCTGCATTTGCTCGGCAATGCATGCGAGATGGGGATATGGAGGGTTTGGCTGCTGTAGATCTGGCATGTCCCGTAACATATACCCCGGGACCCCCTGATGCTCAAGGCAATCCTCAAACTGCAATCACAATGACAGCTTTAGATTGGAAATTACTTAGTCAACTTCGTAGCACTGTTAGTCAATATGGGGCGACTGGGGAACCCACTCGCCAGATTCTTGATTACATTTGGAGTACTCAGCTTCTTTTGCCTGCCGACTGTCGCACTATAGCCAAATTGTTGTTCTCTCCCCATCAAATGCATTAAACAATGCACATTGGCAAGCACAAGTACAACAATCTGTTGCCACACAGAGGGGACCAGGTGACCCTCTGCAAGGAGTCACTATGGAAGAATTATTAGGTTTAGGTGCTTGGTTAAGAGTTGAAGCACAAATGCTCCTTGGGGCTGATAAGATTAGAGAGGTGATGCGCTGTGCTCGTAATGCAATCGACCGTGTTAAGGATCCTGGGGGAACTCCTTTATATATGAGCATAAAGCAGGGAAAAGACGAACACTTTGGAACTTTTATTGATAAAGTAGCTGATGCAATAACAAAAGCGGGTGTACCTGATTATCTTAAAGGAGCAATCTTAAAGCAATGTGCTTTACAAAATTCCAATCAGGCTACCAAAACAATTATCAATACTCTTGGGGCAGACTGGTCTATTGAGGAAGCATTAGAAAGAATGGCTCGAACCCCTACGGGTACACAAGCCTTTTTAATTGAAGCTTTAAATAACTTAGGGGAAGGCTTGAAAAAACAAGCGGAGAGTAGTCAGACACAAATCTTGGCTGCCCTTGCGCCTCTTCAAGTGATGACAGCAAAGCCACAAAAAACAAATACTTCTCGATTAAAATGTTACCGTTATGGAGGATCAGGACACATGAGAAAATATTGCTCAGCTACAGGAGTGTGGTGCCAAAACTGTAAATCTCCATCGCATAACACTAATGCCTGCCGTGCGGGAAACGGGAGACAAAGCGCGAACAACAAGAGCCGCGCTACGACACAAGTAGCTCTCCCCACAACAGCAGCGTTCTGCGCTCAGCCCCCACCCTCCAACCCGCAACAAGCGGCAGCCTTGGATTGGACTTGGCAGCAGCAATAGATACTATTCTTTTTACTACCAAACCTCAAGCGATCCCCACAGGCATTCAAGGACCATTAGTAATTGACAATAAATCCATGGGAGCTTTATTAGTAGGACGCTCCTCACTTTCACTGGCAGGCTTGTTTGTACTACCGGGAATAATTGATGCTGACTATACTGGAGAGATTAAAATTATGTTATACACCCTTTTTCCACCAGTAAAAATAACTCAAGGTCAACGTATAGCACAGTTAATTCCTTTGCCTCAGTTTACTTCTGAAATGTGTCCTATTACAAAAAATGATTGTGGAGAAAAAGGATTTGGCTCTACCGGGCATAATGTACTACTGACTTTAGATCTTTCTGACCGACCCAAACAACCGATTACTTTGCAATGGGAAAATGAACATTATTGTCTTGATGCTTTACTGGACACAGGAGCTGATACAAGCATTATTTCACCTGACTATTGACCAAATCATTGGCCCCTTTTTCCAACAAATGCAAGCCATGGGTGCATTACAACCTGGCATACCAAATCCAGCTTTAATCCCACAAGATTGGCATATTCTAGTCATTGATTTAAAAGACTGTTTTTTCACTATCCCGTTACATCCTCGAGACACCCAGCGTTTTGCCTTTACCCTGTCGGCTCTCAACAGAGCATCTCCAGATTCCAGATACGAGTGGGTTGTTTTTTCACAAGGCATGAAAAATAGTCCTACGTTGTGTCAACTCTACGTTGCAACTGCTCTACAACCCATCCGTAAAAAATTTCCTACCTGGATTATCTACCATTACATGGATGACCTTTTATTCGCCGCAAAGGACCCCTTTCAACCGAATGATACCCTCGAAATTCTCAGAGTGTTACAAGAGCACCACCTTGTGGTCTCGATCGAAAAAACCCAACACACCTGCCCTTGGAAATATTTAGGATGGACTTTGACCAACAGAGTCATTCGACCACAAAAACTAATGTTACAATCATCCATAAAAACTCTCAATGACATGCAAAAATTTATGGGAGATTTGCAATGGTTACGTCCCATCGTAGGCATTCCTACTGAATTGATATATAAACTACGTCACCTTTTACATGGCACAGATCCAGCAGCACCAATTCATTTAAACTCTGACGATTACTCTGTTATTAATACTATTTGTGATCTTGTTTTGCAGGGTTTGATCTCTCGAAGGATCCCTGATGTACCCCTATGTTTGTGTTGTTGGATGGGTGATCCTTTTGCTATGGGAGCCATTGTCCAGCAAGTGCCACCAGATACCTCTCTTAAAAAAGAAGGGGGAGTACTACGTGAAGTAATAGTCTTAGAATGGGTCACAGTAGGTACTCACCTAGCCAAAACAATCGTTCAAAAAATCGAAATGCTTGCAACAATCATCATGAAAGGGAGAGAGCGAATACGAACTGTGGACGGCACTGAACCAAATATCATCTGGCTGCCAATGAAAAAAGATACCTTGGAATGGTACCTTCTTAATAATGTTGCTCTGCAAAATGCTCTTTTAAATTGTCCTAGTGATGTTAGTACCACAACTTTTAAACAAATTCCTTTTACTTGGCAACAGAAATTACATTGGCTTGAAGTTCCCAAATTTAGTTCTATTCCGCTGTCTTCCGCTCTCACCGTTTACACAGATGCAGGAAAAAAGTCACACACTGCTGCTGTTACCTGGCTCACTAATGGGCAATGGCACCATAACCTTATTAAAGGTGAAAAGTCAGATAACCTACAAACTCTAGAATTAGCAGCAGTACGTTTCACATTAGATCGTCTTAAAAAGGACTGCAATTACGCTTGGCACAAAAACTTATTGATTCACGATGTGGCCTCTTCCAACCACCTGTACACTCTTCTGGGCAATACTTTTTGTAATTTCTAATAACTCTGCTGATGCTACTTGGTCCATTGACTCCAGAGAGAATATCTGGGTAACCTGGGCACAACAAATCAATCAGACCGATCTTTGCCTCTCACTTATGGCACTGAAGAAGTCACCACCTTAGGTAACTTTCGATTTCCTCCGGGATACTTCCTCATTTGTGGTGATAGAGCCTGGCCAGGTATCCCAGAAAATTCATGGGGAGGACCATGCTATGTTGGTAAGCTAACAATGTTTACTCCTACATACAGAAACCTAATCACTAATGCTTACAATCGCACCCGTTTCAAACGCACCATTCACGGTATTGGTCCTGATTGTAACTCACGTGTAGAAATCTCATCAATAGGTGCTGCAGTTGCCATGTCCTTCTTTGTTCCAGGCATAATGGCTGCCCATAATTGGTGTAACATCAAAAATCTCGCTTGTTTCGCAGTCCAAGAGTTCAATGTTACCTCTAACATCTTAGATGCATTACTACATGATATAGATAGCGTCAGACATGCAGTCCTACAAAATCGTGCTGCTATTGATTTTCTTTTACTCGCTCAAGGCCATGGTTGTAGGGAATTTGAAGGAATGTGCTGTTTAAATCTTTCTGATCACAGTGACAATATTCATGCTCAAATTCAGAAGCTTTGCAATCGCTTTAATGATATCACTGTTGGTAATAGTTGGTTAGATAAATGGCTCACTAACTGGGGAATCTCTGGCTGGCTTTCAGACTTGATTAAGCAAGGTATTATAATCTTTCTAGTCATTGTATTACTCTTGTTATTTCTCCCTTGTTTTCTACAATTTCTACAATCTAGGATCTCAGAAATGTTAAAGACAACAAATTCCTCTCTTGTCGTCGTTAAAAAAGAAGGGGGAAATATGGAGAATATTGCGAGAGAATGGCTGTGTAACCGAGGACATGATTATCAAGAGACCTTACAGCTGCTGGAAAGCACCGATGAGAAAATGCGAGGGAGCAAAGTAAAACTACCCTGGTAGAAGATCAAAGGAAAGTTAAAGAAAGGACTCTCTCTTGTTAAGAAGATGTTTCTGTCTTAGTGCTGACATTTATGGCCTAAGTGATATATTGCAAGTCCTGTTCTCAAACCCTGTTTTTACTGATAAGGTTTAGCTGAATATTCTCTGTATCTATAACAAATTAGAATACAGTAAACAACCTAAAAATGTGTCTCTATATCTATAGCAAATTAGAACAAAGTAAGCAACCTATAATCATAGTTTTGTCCAATACGAATATCGCATGCTGTTCGTAAAATATTATAAAAACCTTTGTAAAATCTTTAATAAATGAGACTTAAAGCAACTTCTCCTGCTCGTGTCTCCCAGCGTTCCTGCAACAACAGAACATGTAAATTTTCAAGTGTCTAGGTGTTTTTATGAAAATATCTAACACTCACGCTTCCTAATTAAGTCTAGTGGATAACTGCATGATTTCAGATATTCAATTCACTGACTGCTTAACATTAGGTAACAATTCAAAACAATATTAGCACCAGTGAACAGAATACTAAGCGGAAGTAGGATTTATATGCACCCAATTGTTTACCATCAGTTGTGACTGAAAAACCACCACTAGCTTCATAAAACAATTCCTATGATGCACTGGCCAGTGACTAAGTGTTTAGAAGCATTCACAGGCTATGAAGGAACACATCCCTGAAAAAAGGAATGTCAAAGCTCAGAAATGACATGCAAAATTATTTTTTTTTAAGAAAATGTGAAACACTGATGGCATTCTCCTCATCAGCCAGACAGCTAGCAGGCTAGAGCAAAAGAAACTGAAAATATATTATCCGAATCATAACCTACCATTGTAGTTGAAGCCAAGTGACCAAATGGCAAAAGAAGTACTTAAGGAGTTTGGTGCAGCAGGCAAAGAATCATATTTTATGGTCACACTCGGGGTACTGGGAAAAAAAAAAATCATGAAGTATCATTAAGAAATTAAATGGGTATTTTATTTAAATACAACATTTTTGGTAGCTAATTGTACTTAAATCTCATTTGCATAGTATCCTTTTCTCCAAAAGCAGAAACAAAAGAGTTCCATTCACCACTAATGCAGAGGTTCTCATTCTAATGACTACTCTTCATAATCATTTTACATATTATATTATATAGTAAAGTAGTAAGCATTTAAGTGAGCCTACATAGCCAAGCACTCTTCTCTATTGCAGCAGTCTGCCGAGACATCCCAAATATCGCATCCTCAGATGCACTGAAGGCTAAAACATTTAATGACAACTTAGCACACCCCACCAGTTCTTTTGTTTTGCTTTCGAGCAGGTGTTATTCCCAGCCAGCACCTCCGCTAGCGGTGTCTTCCAGCGCTGTTCTGCGATGTCAGTTTCACACTGACTCGCAGGAAGCGCCTGCCGGGGCGGAGTGACCGAGGGCAGCAGCCGGACAGGAACGGCCGGGCCGGCCCAAGCCGAGGGCGCAGGACGGGCCCCTGTCCGCCCCCTCCCCGGCGCGGTCGGGGAGCGCCGTGCCCGGGGCAGTCCCACGGCCCGCCGAGCGCCGACACCTGCCGGCCTGTCCCGCGGAGCCCCCGGCAACCCCACCATCCGACCATCCGCTCCCGCCCCGCCGCTTCCCAGCCGCTCCGGAAGGGGCGGCAGCGGCGCCATGGAGACCGGGCGGGCAGGGCGGTGGGTGAGGAGAGAGTGTCGGCGCTGCTGCGGGCGGGGGCGGCGGGAGTGCGGAAGGTTCAGTGCTAAAAAAAGAGGCGGTAGGGGTAGGTGTCCGTGTGTCTCAGCGGTGCTGTTAAAGATATTTGAAGGCTTTTGGTGTTTGACCCCCGGCCAGCAGCATGTTGCGGAAACTGTTTTGAGAGAGAGAAGATTCAGAGTATCCCGAGTTGGAAGGGACCCACCGGTATCATCAAGTCAAGTTCCTGGCCCTGCGCAGGACAACCCCCCAAAATCACACCACTGTCCAGACGCTTATTCAACTCTCTCAGGCTTAGTGCTATACCCTTTCTTTGGGGAGCCTGTTCCAGTGCCTGATCACCCTGTGGATAATCATCATGGCTAGGCTTCGCGAACGAAGATTTGAAAAGGGCTCTACCCACGCTTGCTCCAAGCGTGCTGATGGCTAAAGAGGCCAATGCGAGATAGACAAGTCTGGTTGCAGAAGGCACAGCAGAAAGACTCCCTAGGAGATATCGACGAGACGCGATTCTTTCTGCGTTGTCTTTTCTCCTCGAGAGCGATCCTACGTGTGTTCTCAAAAGCAGCAGCAGCATTATAGGTGGATCACCCTCTGGGTAAAGAACCTTACCATAAAATCCAACCTAAAACTCCTGTGACACAGCTTCATGCCATTGCTTTGGGTCCTCTCACTAGTCACTTGAGAGAAGTCCATTTCCCCTCACAAGGAGGTTGTAGACTGCAATAAGGTCTCCCCACAGTCTCCTCCAGGCTGAATAGACCAAGTGACCTAAGCTGCTCTTCATAGGGCTTCCCCTCAAGGCTCTTTACCATCTTCTTGTCCCTCCTTTAGACGATCTCTAAAAGCTTAATGTCTTTCTTATGTTGTAGCACCCAAGACTGCATGCAGGACTCTTAAGTGAGGCCACACCAGTGCAGAGCAGAATGGGACAATTCCCTTTGTCGACTGGCTGGCAATGATTTGCCTGATGGCCCCCAGGACATGGTTGTCCCTCGTGGCTGCCAGGGCACTGCTGACTAATATTCAGCTTGCCATTGACCAGGACCCTCAGGTCCCTTTCTGCAGGAAAAGTTTCCTTGTGAGTGGTGTGATAGCAATTCAGGAGCAGAGAGGGATAACCTGGGAAAGGTATGGTGGACACTTGGCTGGGGCAACTTTACTTAGTAAAAACTCAGTGATTGTAAAGTTTACTCAGTCTTAATGCTCTGTATTTTCATAATTCCCATTTGAGGTACACAGAATTATTCTACAGGATGATACTGGGGACGTTTAAACCTCTTTTATCTCTAATGAATTATTGTGTTTTAAGCATCTGGGCAACTTGCTAGAGCTGCTGGGTGCTTCATCAGATCATTATGTAAACATGCCATCAATTTGAAGTAATAAAAGCTAATTTTAAAATTTAATTAAAAGCCTGCTGTTTGTAAAGTGAAAAAAATGTGACTGCCTGGTTTTGCAGGTTGTTTTTTTTTCTTTTTCCAGAATGTTCAATTTTCTGTAAAATCAGACAAAATAGATAAAGCAGAACTGCACAGGAGATTTGATATGTTCATGTATGTATTGAAAATTTGTTTGATTTATGTAGTAAATAGCTAAGGGATTAGAAGCAACTTGAGAAGAAATTTACTGTGCCCTCTCCTCCCAGAGAGGTTAAATAATGCCTGTACTGTCTTCAGAAGATAGTTGTCTAACAGTGATCAGATCTGTCTGCAAGCAAAGTTAAATAATGTTGTTGTTGGATTTGTAACAACACATATGTTGTTACAGATTAAACATCAGTATTGCTTGATAAAATGCCTTTGTAATAAAGGATTGAAACATCATCATGTTAGGAAAAAGGTTGATTTATTATTTGTATTCCTAAAAAATAAGAACTGGGGAAAAAATATTTTAAGTTCACCTTCCCACAGGATCACATGAGATGCCTACAGTGCTGTGTTAGGTCACTTCTAAGGGCATCCATACTCTATTTCCAAGCTCTCCTAGGCACATCTCCACTGTACATGGCACACACTGATCCTGGGTAGAGCACTTATCTGACTATATTACTCCCAGGCCTTTCTAGCACTTCTGGCTGAGTCATAATTTATTTTCTCACAGCAACAAGTGAATGTTCTACCCTGTGATCCAGCAGCCAGTCCTATAGGAGAATACGCACCTAAGGCTCCCTTTCAATGGCTTTGTTAACCTTGCAGTGCGGACTTGTCCTAACGAGGAGTGACTTGAAATCTCAAGAAAGTTTAAACACTGTGAGCTCCAGGTAGCTCTGGACAGAGTGAAGTAGTTCCTGTAGGACTATCCAGGTACTTTGTCCTGGTGCTGATGCTATTTTGGTTTCAGCACTGGATTTTTTATAGCTCTTCCGCATCTCACAGCAGAGCCAAAATGTTTTGAATCATCATTACTGATGGTGCCTAGAGTCTCTCAGAGGTTCTCAGTACATAGAATAAAAACCTCTGATGAAATTGGTGTTCCTCAACTGTGGGCATAAACAAGTTGGACACCTAATTTCAGCAGTTGAGAAGCTCCTTTATTGGTTTGTTAGGAGCCCATGTTGTTCTTGAATATCAAAGAAAAGATAATCAGGATCCCATCCTGGTCCAGGAGCAGGTAGCAGTTCTTCCTCGGCTCATCCAGGCACTTAAGAGATGTATGGTACAGCAGTTCTGCAGCTGCATTTGATCCAACTTTGAAGCTGGCTCACCTCTGAGCATGCAGTTGTGCTGCCTTTTAACCTAAATTTTTCTAATCTTCTGTGCTATATGCCATCTTCTTCAAATTGCCCAGTGACTATAAAAGTTGTGAGAACATAATTGTCATTATGAAAACCACTTTTTGGTCAATTTTATCGTGAACTGAAGAACACTAGTAATGTGACAGTGCTAAACTGTTAGCTGGATTTTGATTTGAAAGTATTAATTATATATTTTTTTTATTTCTGTTTGAGCCTGTAACTTCCTGTATTTTAATGGGATTAAAAAGTTGAACATGGCAAAATACAAGCATAAATTAAATCTCATTTCATCTCAGCTTCATCTGATGCTCGGAGCAACATTGTGGAGCACTGGCTTACCACAAGAGTTGCAATCTGCAGAAAGTTCTTATGTGTCTAAACTCTGTCATGTTTCACTTGGATTAGACAGGCTACCTCTCTCTACCCAGCAACATCCTCACCCCCTTTGAGGGATCTACACATTAACATGTTCTTGTTGCCATGGTCTAGCTTGGTGACCATGACGCCAACTCTTAGTTGACTGCACAGTCTGTTACTGCTCAGTGCCCATCTGATCAGATCTTCTGTTGGCTCATGTTGTGCTGCTTTGGGAGCAGCTCTTTGCCAGTGTGCCAAATGACAGAAAATCCCACAGGCATTCACTGCAGAGAAATGGTGACCTGAGTAGCTGCAGAAGTTTCATAAGGCCTCCTATCCAAAGGCTTAGTTAATATACCCAATGTCACATATTCCGGTCCATTCCTCTAGAAAGATTATTGTTATGTGGAAAAAATTATCTACTGTTAACTATTCACTGTCTGGCTATAAAATGAAAGATGAGCACTTGAGCTTTGTTCTTAGCCTGAACCAGGGTTCATGTTTTGAGTGCCTTTTTTCTCCACTCCAGTTTAGGTTGGAATCAGGAGATCTAACCTCTCAAGAGTGGTGTAATGCATAGTCATGATGTGCCTGAAGACTCTCCAAAATACCTGGTATCCAAGCCAGAAATGTTTTCTTAGACTTCAGCAGTAACCTGTGTTATGTTTGGTTTCCTGGAGGGTGTACAACCTCCTTCTGGAGCTGCCTCCAACTTGGGATATGTCTGGGCTGGAGAATCTGGCCAAAATCTACCTATTGGTGCGTGTTTCAGTTTATCTAACACAACACTGACATGGGTGAGAACAGCATACTGCTGTAACAGCAGTGTGAGGCTTTGTTTACAAAGGCATCTCAATGTTGGATCTGGAAATGGGCTTTCTTCCCAAAACAGGAACTAGATGTCTTAGAATCTCAGATGGTTTTGCAAATTCTCTAAATATGTTGTCTCTTTATGCCCTCTTTGTCCTCTCATCAGAAACTAATTAATATGTATTCCTTAGTGTGCACAGCTGGAATAAATGATGATCATATGGCCAACTTTTACACAATGATGGACAGTATTATAGTTATGCTCTTGTGAATGCTTATCGTTATCTGTTCTATTATGGTCATTCTATCTTCTGCTACACTTGATATATATATTAGTCATATGTATTTTACTGAAAATTAGTCTTTTCGCTGCAGATAGTTTGTCACTGGAGCTAACTAGCTAAAAATCACTTACATGACAGTAATAAATCTAGGATCATTAAAACTAGAGGTATAAAATATCAGTGTAAATCAATTACTTTATAGTTCTACTAAAAATATGCAGCAAGAGATTTTTGGGAGGTTCTATCTATGTCCTTATCCTCCTGCAAAGACTGTAGGATTTTTTATGATGGATTTAATACAGGAAAGATTGGTGATTGGGGTTCAAATACTGTAATACATTTCTGAATTTTGTTATATTTGCTCAAAATAGGAGGCTTCAAACGCTGGTTTCAAACCCTAGTCTGGAGTAGCTGGGTTTCCATTGCTATATATATGTTCAGAAAAATTAACATCTGGTAATGAGTTGTGCAATCTGACCATTAAAACATAAACAGAGCTATTCTAAAATCTTTGTTTCAGTGACATAATTCCTATAAATTTCAGGGTTTCTGAAAAAGGATTAGCACTTTATTGTTATTATGGAAATAATTTACAACCCTAGTTTACCAAGACCATTTCATCATTTAATAAATTCTTCTGCCAACCTGTCACCTTTAAATTCATATAATTTCTTCTAGAGTTTTAAGGCTCAGATTTAAATTGGAACAAGCCATAACTTTTTATCTCATAATGTTTTAATATTCATCCTGCACTGGAAAGCATTATTACTCA